AGAACAACTACCCGTAAAACCCCAACATCATTGTCTGAAGAAAATACGAAAACGGCAGACCACATCTTTTTGAATAAGGCTCGAAAAGTTTGTTTTTGACATGGCAGGAAGGCCACGCCGTCCCTGGGCTGGCGGTCTGCGGGAGGCTCGGTGGCAGCTGCGACAATCACTGAACGATTTGGGAAGCGTCAAAAAGTCTATTGGAATTAACAACTCTAGCGCCAAGGAGACCAGCAGACTCAAGGTAGGGTGAAGAAAGTAGGGCTGATTGCTTGCTCCCCGCCGCCATCTGAAACTGGCGCCATGGCCCCTGGATGAGGCTATTCGCTGTTGTGGGATGCCCCCTGGCGCCCGTAGCTGCGTCTCATTGTATCAAGAGAGAGACAAGAGAGGATGGATGTAGGGAGACAAGATGGCTCGCCCCAGTCGCGGGGGTTCGGCAGGGGCAGAGAGTCTTTCGTGTTTGTTTGCAGTAAACACGACTGCTACGACGGGGTGCAACGCCGCCGAAGAGACGAAAGTTTATGTGCCCGACAGTGACCAGAAGAACTACCTCCCCCAGATAAAAAGAGTATGCCCTGCCCGTTGACTGATCACATACAGGTTCGTGCCCGAAGCCTAAAGTTCTGGCAACTCCGGACGGGCAGCAAATTGAGCCTGGCGGCCCCTGCTTAGACGACGGGCGACTCGCCAAAAGCGTTTCAAGCGGAAGTTTATTCACGACCTTCCAGAGGCTTCAGAGGTGCACTAGTCTACAGTCTCTTCATATTGCAACGCTGTCGATATTGTGATGGCCCCGCGCAGGTGGCATCATGACGCCAAGGCTTTTCCACCTGCTCGGAATGTGCAAACGAAGTCGGCCTGGGTCTGCCTGTCGGCACCATCCGTGCCAGTCGGCGTTTGCAGCACTCGATGTTTCGCCCGAACCCGTCCCGCCTGCTGGCGATGCAGAGAAGCGAGTTGAAGCTGCGAGGGAAGAAGGCTAAGCGAATAGACATGAGATGTTCTGCTCGCGGTCAAAGACTCAATCTCTTGTGAGTGTGTGTTTTCTGCTCGATAAAATCTCGCGAAGGATATCCCAAGTAGTCGGCGATAGGACGTGTCCGAGTACCTCCATCTCATGCACAGCATGCCCGTTTCTGCACGTAGTACGCACTCAACACCACACCACCCGCTGTTTGTTTCTCATTACTCAGAAGTTGCATCGCGAGACGGCACGCTAACCTTGAGTCCGTCCATCGGCCGAGTCTGGAGGAGCAGCGGGTTTCAGGACATATTGTTCGTCGCTTCTGCGGTGTCTTTCTGACACTGGCTGTAGGCGAGGTAGCATCAAAAGGGCAACTGACTGGGCGAACGGACATTCTGCTGTGCGGAGAAGTCCATCTTCTGACCAAGGGTTCAACCATATCTCCATTTGGATCGAGAGATCAGTTGCATGCTGCGTACTCTCTGCCAGCCACCAAAACCAAAGCCTCGCCAACGGGCCAAGCATTCATCAAGCCACAGACTTGGCTAGACCGGGGCCGCCTTTACCCACATTCCTACGTCTGACGGGTCACAGGTGTTCACTGGAGCGTCGGAGGCTCACCCCGCGAGCGCAAGTAAGAAGCGCACCGGAAGAGGCCCCCGCATTGGCGGACGGAAGCTCGGGGAGTTAGCAGCCTATGACCGTCGTTGGGGGCCGCCGCCAGCTTGGGTGCGGAGGCTTTTCGCGGGATGGGTTGGATTGATGCAGAGGCACCAGACCAGACCCCAATCAAGCACCACCCATCCAAGATTACCAAGCGGCGAACAGGTGGCGTGTGTAGCCGCACGAAACACAGGCAATGAAACCAGGAGGCAAAGGCAAAAGCAGCAGTAGCAGTAGTCTGCTATTTTGACGTTGGCGGGAAGAAGACGCGTTGTGCCGGTGGGTTTCTCGTGTCTGTGTCAAATAAACACGCCATTTGGTGCTGCAGCGTCAGGCGGTAACATTCAAAACCTATGTTCAGCGCCGCATCACTTTCACATTCTGGTATGTAGGCTTACGCGCCTCGTGATGTTTGCCACTGGAAATACCTTGACGCCTCATCTCAAAACTGTGCATATCCGATTCTTCAGCCCTGGGCGTCGTCACCTCCATCCGTTATTATTCTTCAATTGGTCGACGGCTCTTGCTCAGCTCTGTTAAGTGCTCTCCAGGCGGGGGCTGCTACGTTGCAGCATTATCCCGCAGGTAAATATTAGCGATTGATTAATATCCCTTTCGGTCCTGTAAGCTCTTCGGGTCCGTCTCAGCCGGTGTGCTTGCCAGTCATGTTCGCATCCGAAAACGTCCCAAGCTCAATAGCAGTCTTCAATTATCAATGCGGTGCAAGACGTCGTAATGGCGTACGAAAAGGTTTTTGTGATGCTTCGACTCTGTGACGGTCACATGCAACCCGCCATCCTGGGGGGGTCGCGACTCATCAGGTCTTATCGCCATCTTTGAACTGCGGCGCAATGCATCCCGAAGTCCAGGGCCTGGATTGACACGGGACGGTGCATTGGACCATTGGACATGGGCATACTATGTAGGGGCAACCAGCATCGAGACGAGAGATGGGGGCCAAGGGCCGTTTGCTGGGAAAGATCGACAAAATACCGAACATCAGCCAGCTGGGCAACGGCCATGGGAAAACAGAAATGCCTCCAGAGAGAAGAAGCCAAAGCCGCCGCCGCCGACGCTGTGGTTTCGGTGTCCATGCTCGTCCCGTACGCGACCCAAACTTTTCCTGCCAACGGCTCGTCGCCCAGCTTTTCCCAGTGAGTTCTGAGGACAGTACATAGCGTCGAGAGGGAGCATGGGGGCCACACGGCGCGCCTGCATATGAGGAGGAGCTTGTACCGATACGTCCATGGCGCGGACACAGCAGCCACTGGGAAGAGGGAATCAGGGCAGGGGTGTGAGCGTGGGCGCTGGAACAAACGGCCTGTCTGGCCGAAGAGGCCCTCTCCATTCTGGCGGACTCTGGCCAGTCTGCGTGAAGAGCGACACTCCGCATATTAGCCGTGGCGCGGGTTCGCGGCCCGGCGGACAGCACACACGGAGGTTTGAGGTTTCTCGTGGGCCAATGTAGCCCGTATCGCCCGTATTGGCCGCGTCGACACCCCCGGCTTGGGGGTCATTTCACCCGGCGATTTGGCGATGGTGCAATGAGAAGCAATCTATCTCATTGCAGACGGGGTCGACGGACCCTCTTGCTCCCCTCCTCCCCCTCGTGAAGCGCCGAGATGCTCGGGGTGCAGTGCGGTGCTTAGCCAGAACCAGAAACAGAACGGGCGGGCCCAAGCTGTCGGCCCAGAGTCCGTTAACTGCGGCCACGCTGATTGATGATGCCAGGGTCTGGGCTGGGCTGGGGATGGGAATCATGGAATCATGGAACAAGATGCCGATGGAAGAATTGTGGGAACATTCTTGTGCACCCCCCATCATGGATGGATGCAGATAAAGGCTTCGTGATGCCCCAGAGTACTCACACACCGGATGGTTTGTTCTAGTTGGAAAAGGTCTGCAGTTCTTGTTGACTCTCCGTACCAGCTTTACTTCATCTTCACGCTCACCACGTCTACAACAAGACGCCATCCATTTTTTTTTCTTCTCGGTATCCTACGTCCGCTGCCTCTGGCTTTGCCCTGTTTGGGACGGTCACGAGGTGCCATTCTGCACTCAATTCGGCACTACAACCGCTGTCAAGAAAATCCCCCGAAGGGCTGCCTCTGGACTAGGCCTGTTCCTGCGCCGCCGAGGTTCCCGTCCGCGTCTTTTGTGGTTGACAGGCTAGCTGGACTGGCTTTTCCACCACTTGGGGATCACCAAATCGTTGAAGAATCCGGGGCGTTGTGGTGTGTTCGTGGCATCACGAGACGGGTCGCAACATATAAGAAGAGGATTATTACGGACGGGGTTTACTGCGCGTCGCCCGGTCGACTCGGGGTCGAAGACGATTGGATTGGATCTGATTTGCCCTGGTCAACAACTCCCGAAATTGGATTCGAGGAACACTTGGTCCGACACCGTTATTACACCATTTCCACTCATCAGTCGGCAGCTGACTTTTTGTCTCTGCCAATACCTACCTACTTACGTATCAGTCGAGACCTTGCTTCTTTCTGTTGGCTGACTGCAGCACGGCACACGACTTGAGGTACTGATGGATGCAGAGCATCTCTACTAGCCACAGGAATTACCAGGAGCAGGAGATACAGCAACTTCTGCGTACGTTCATCTCAGACTCTGGGCAACAACGGCAGCTCGGATGATGAAGGCCCGCTGGGCCGCTGGCCCCACTGAGGCGCCCCCCGCAAATGCAAATGCAACTGGGGAGGGCGGAAAAGGAGGAGAAGGGGGTGGTGTTGTTGGTGGTGGTGGTGGTGGTGGGCAGGAAATTGGGGGAGGGGGAGGGGGATTTGGAGATGCAGAAGTACATTTACATGAACATGATTATGGACATGGACATGCCGGCATCTTCTCACCCTCAGCGAACCTGACCGAGAACCTGGACAACTTGTCGAATCATCCAGCAGCTGGTGGCAACACAACACCAGCTTCCGCTGCTGCGTCTGTCAACAACAAGCCACCACCCTCCAGGCCGAGTCTGGGGAAGAAGGGTCGCAGGGGTCATTCATCTGGGTCTGGGTCTGGATCTATCTCCATCTCTTCTAGTGGTGGTTTGGGCACAGGAACATCATCCCCAAGCTCCTCTCGCAGGACATCCGCCCGCATTCTTAAGACCTCCCCGCCGTCATCTGCCGCCGCGTCCCGGGCCACCTCCGTCTCCCCTACCACCGTATTCTCTTCTTCCACCAACACCACCACAGCCTCTCCCTCTCCCGTGTCTGCGGCCACCACTGCTGCAACCTCGGCCGCGACGACGCGCTCGTCGACTGTGACTCCAACTGGAGCAGCAGCAGCAGCAGCAGCAGCAGCAGCAGCAGCAGCAGCAACACCAGCAGCAAGCCGCAAGGTCTTCCCCAAAAGCATGGAGCCTCCCGTCGTCTCATTCTACGGCGCGGAGCCCATTCCGCTCCCGTCGCGCTTCGCCGGCGTCAAGAAGCGCCTCATCGCCGGCCACGAAGCCGCCGTCGAGGCTTCTTGGCGCCGTCTCCTCGACGCCCTCAGAACCGAAATCGCCGACATCCAGACCAAGGGCTCCGATCTCATCCCCTCCATCAACTTCACCGACATCAACGACCCCGTGCGCGTCGAGGCCTTCGCCCACCGCCTGCGCAGGTATGGCGTCGCCGTCATCAAAGGCGTCGTCTCTCCTACCGACGCCCAGAGCTGGGTGCAGGAGACGCACGAGTATCTAGACAAGAACCGCGAGTTCAAGCCGCCGGCACTACACGACCCGACCTGCATCGACCTCTTCTGGACGCCGGTGCAGGTCCGCGCCCGCGCGCATCCCAACATGCTGCGCGCGCAGAAGTTTGCCATGTCCTTCTGGGAGTCGACGGACGATCTGCACATCACCCGCGCCCCCGTGAGCTACGCCGATCGCCTGCGCATCCACAACGACAAGCTGGGCGCCGTCGGCCAGCAGAACGGCAACTCGGCCGCCGACTCCCTCAACGCCAGCGCCGTCATCGCCCAGATCGACAGCGGCAGCCTCGAGCGCTGGGAGCCCGACGGCTACGGCCGCGGCGGCACCTACGAGGCCGTCTTCCGCGGCGACTGGGAGTCCTACGACCCGTGGGACCCGGCCGGTCGCGTCGGCGCCACCACGGACCTGTACAACGGCGCCGGCGCATGCAGCATCTTCCGCATGTTCCAGGGCGTACTGGCGCTCACAAAGGTCGAGCAGGGCATGGTGCGCGTCCTCCCCTCGCCCAAGCTCGTGGCCGCGTACTTCCTGCTCCGGCCCTTCTTCTCGCCGAAACGCGGCCCGCCGGAGCAGCCGGACGGCGGCAAGGCGGATCAATGGGCGGCCTACCTCGACGCATTGAACTGGACGCTCGACCCGGAGCCCAACACCATCATCCACGGCGCCGTTCCCGGCCACGCGCAGCGTATCACGGAACGATGGCACCCGCATCTGCATCTCCGGAGGAGCCTGGTGTCTCTGCCCAGCATGCAGGCGGGCGACTATGTAATCTGGCACTGCGACCAGGCCTACTCAATAATCACGGGTGGCACGAGACTCGGCGTCCCGCCCTCACTGCAGAACGAGTCTAACGAGCTGTCCCTCTTGACTTACACCCCTGTGTGCCCGTTAACCCAGACCAACGCGCTCTTCCTCGCCCGCCAGCGCAAGGCCTTCCAGACCGGGCAGCCGGGACCGGACTTTGACACCCTGTTCGCCCTGGGCAGCGAGGCCTCGCACCAGGACCGTCCCGGTGCCAAGGAGGTCGAGGAGTACGGTGGAGTCGACGGCCTCAGGGCCATGGGTCTGGCGCCGTACGACGTCGAGCCCGCCGGCGCATCGCCCAAGAGGGAGCTGAACGGGGGTGGTGACGCGATGGACATTGACGACGAAGAGGGCTTGCGCAACAAGTCCAGGACGGAGTCGGAGCAGGAGCTTCTGAGGCTCGCCAACATCATCCTCTTCCCCAACCGCTACGACTTTTACATCCCGACGAACGGGAACGGCACCCGAAGCAGCGGTGACCGGACGCCGCGCGCGCAGGGAGGGCCTCCAAAGACCAAGTTGAATGGGGCAAAGAGCTGACGGCGTTGGTTGAAGGGGCGGTGGCGGCGTGGCGGCAAGCGTCTTTCGTCGAGCAGAGACGACGAGGACGAGGACGAAGATGATGAGCATGAGCCGGAGACCGTTGTTGAGACCGAGACCGTGGCCTCCAAGGTCAACGAGAAGGATACCATAACAGTCACGGTCACCGCGGCGGATGTCTAGATTGCGTTTTTCTTACCATGATACCCTGCAGTCTGGCCATCCGTCGGTCGGATTGAGAGAGAGACGGAGAAAGGATGTAGAGAGCGAGGAGGAATTTTGTGGGACCGCCCCCTTCAACGTGACGCTGGAAAGCAAGCAAGCAAGCAGACATGTATGCGCAGGCGATGATGATGATGATGACGGAGACTCGACGTTACGAGACGGGATCTGTCGAGGATAGATCGCGATTAGATGTAGTGGAAACAGTCGACGATTGGTACGTGTAGTACCTAGACTATCAGACAGATACACACATATTGCATTGATGGAGCTTGGCAGGGCCCGCTTTGAGGCCGCGATGCATTCTCTTTTTTGCTGTTACCAATTTCCATTTTGTTTAAATTTCGTCGGTTGGTTGAGACTTTCGGACGAATTATCGCAATTGGCATCAACGATCAAGGTGACTAGTGCCTAGTAGAGGAGGATCACAAGCTGCAAGCATGGGGAGGCTTGGTTTTGAGTCCCGGCCGGGACGTTGCCGGCTCAGTGTTAGACAGGGACCGGGACGCATTCCCGGTTCACCAGTTTCTCGAGACGGACCACCGCCGGCCCCTGCTTTGCCGCCATTTCTCAACCGGCAGAGCATATCTCGGGCTGTCAATTGATCCCGTGTGACTCGTTGGTCGTCATCCACGCCCTTTATGAGGTTGGAGGTGAGATAGGAGAAACGAGTATATAGTTTTCGGTTCTCTCACGCAGCGCCTTGTTCCGCAGTAATATGTGTTTGCTTGTGAACATCTACAACACCACCATACATAACACCAATCAATACAACAAACACGGAGGCCGCGCGCGGAGCCATCGCCGCACACGCAGGTACCCACGCGGCGCGCTCCCCCGCGGTCTGCTCCCGGTTTCCATTTGTTGCCAATCGGCGTTCCGGTCTGTCATTATCTTCCCTTGATCCGAGCTCTGACCGGTCGGTGCCCATCGTTCGTTTCTGTTGCGCGCCAGCGAGGAAAAAACCCCTCTCGGTCTGGGTCCTATCTTGGCCTCTTAGCGTTCTGGCGTGACCCATAACGCGACGGAAAGTACGTAATGAAAGCTCACGCCAAAAAAGAGGAACCTCGTCCAGGTCGAGTGTCGCCGCCGAGTGCACGCGGCGCTCCGTGATAGCCAATTCCCCGGATGTGGGTGGCACTTGGGGGCACTGGCTAGACTGCCAGGACTGGGCATCAAGTTGGCAATATGGTCAAGGGTCCTTGGGATTCCGGTGCCTGAAACTCACTCCACTGTCGTCTGATTTTGCTATCGTTCTGGAAGCCTTCTGGCTGCGTCTTTCATTGGCAGAGACACCGAGACTTGGCAAGTCCAACATGATGTTGTGCGGGAGTACTCTACTCTGTACGGTTAGTCCTTGTCTCCTGAAAGTCTCGTCTTCTTCCCAGCTCTGCTCTGCAGCAGGGCGAAGAACCTGAACGGCAGCAAATGCGCCCTATGCAGCCTGCAGCCAGCGAGTCAGTCCCGACATTCCCGCCAAACCGCGATGGGGAGGGCGCCATGCCGTGCTGGGTTTGGCTGGTCGGGGTTCTACCCGCTTTCTATGTTTTTGTGCAGGATGCCCTGGAACGCTCTGCCAAATGCCACCGCAAATCATCCCGCCCCCTGTTGGAAGACCTGAACTGAAGGGCTTTCAGGTCCTTCAATACCTACCTCATTGCCGGTATGCATGTTCAGGTTCCGGAAGACAGACATGTTCGTTCGTTGCCGCTTATTGCTGTCAGCAACAGCAATAGCTAAGAAGCCTGGTGTGCCATCTTGCCAAGCAAAAACATGCAACGCTACACACCATTATCGGGGTGGCCGCCGGCCCAGCACGCGGTCAATTATTATCTTTCGGCAGTGTGGCAGCCAAGCAACCAAGGGATTGCGCCCCAAGTTTTGCCTCTCATTTTGTCTCTGGAGTCTGACTCCAAGGGCCAGCGACGTCCCTCGGATAGTGGCTTGTTTCTCCATGTTCAAGTGAACGACCATTGGAAGAATCCGACGTCGGATGGTCTCGACCCATTGCCAAGCCTGACAGACTGGTGAACGGGCCAAAGGCTTGACATGATGGCCGAGGTCCTGTCCCAAGCGACGATTGGGCGATCCAGGAAGCCGAGAGACGCGGAAAATGCTTGTCTGCGTGGGATTGTTCCCATCGAAACAAGATACAGCAGTACCTGATATTACATCGGAGATTTTTACTGTTTACATGTACACACTGCCCTTGTCTCTCGGATCAGTGGCTATCGTCGGCAACCGATTGACCATTCTTCATCGTCTTACCCCAATGTTTGATGTGATTCTCATGCAATTGATGCCGCTGGTATCTCATCAACGGTGGGACTGCGGCGAAACATGGGAGACGAGAGGGAGCAACCAGGGGGGGCAAAAGATGCAACTCACAACTCTTACTCACAGATCAACCAAAACCACCCTTGGGACCACAGCATTATGAACATCTTTTGGAAGGGCCTTCACTCCGTTATCGTCGGTATCGGCCGCCCTGACGTTGCTCCGACAAGGGTTCACCCCCGCGCCCACCGCACCCATTGATCGCCCCAGCCAGCTGCCACCCATTCACAAGCGTTCCCCGGCCGTTTCTGCTTATCTGCGTGGGGACCCTATTGCCGTACGCAGATGGGGCCCCATCGACGGTTGGTCTTGTCTATCATGACCCGAGTAAGTTACATACTGCGTTGTAGTAGTCGCTTTCTCTCTCACCTCCCGCACTGCGCGCGCACACCTAGCATGCAGTACACGCGCATCCCAGGAACCGCCGAACCGGGAGACGTCAGATGAAGGTTGGGTGGCTAGCCGGGGAGGGAATGGATCCGCGCGGACGACGCAGAGGAGGTAGCGTCGGGGGAACCAGGCAGGCCAGGGGCCACGAGCCTGCGAACTGCTTCCGGCATCTCTGATAGAAATAGATGGCCTGCCTCGCTCTCACCCCTCGGCCTGTAGTTCCCGCGGTGTCCTCGTCTTCCCTATCCCAAACGGTCTGATCGGCGTCGTGAGCATTAGTTGCCGACCCTGCAGCACAAAGAGTCCGAAGAAAGGCTATTCTCACCATAGTCCTTCTCTGAGAATAATTCGGACCCTGGACCTTTGAGTCAAAACACCACACTGCCAGCATCAACCCGCCATCATGGCTGCTGGCATGGAAGAAAAGACTGTCGGCCTCTCCCGCGCCGACAGCACCAATAGCAACAAGCTCGGCCAGGTCGAGTCGGGCAACAATGCCGCCGTTGCACAGCAGTACGGTGAGACCGTTCGTGGTCTAAGCCCTCGTCATGTTCAGCTCATGGCCATTGGAGGTTCCATCGGTACTGGTCTTTGGGTATGTTTACTTCCCGCGATGATGGCCTCACTTTCAATTCAAGCTAACCCCCTTACCAGGTCGGTATCGGCGGTGTCCTCTCCAAGGCCGGCCCTCTCTCGCTCGTCCTCGGATACACCTTCTGGGGTCTCCTCTTCATCTGGCCCCTCAACCTGTCCGTCGCCGAGATGTGCGCCTACCTGCCCATCCGCGGCTCCATCTTTGAACTCGCCTCTCGCTTTGTTGACCCTGCTCTCGGATTCGCCATGGGATGGACCTACTTCTTCGCCGGCCTCATGCTTGTGTGTACAGAATACAGCGCCGTCGCAACCGTCATTCAATACTGGAATTCCGACATCAACGCCGCCGCCTGGATCGCCGTCGCCATGGTCTCGTGCGTCGCCGTCAACTTGATTGCAGTCAAGTACTACGGCGAGTCTGAGTTCATCATGGCTTCGACCAAGGTCGTCCTCCTGATCGGCCTGTGCCTCGTCACCCTCGTCACCATGTCCGGCGGCAACCCCATGCACGATGCCTACGGCTTCCGCAACTGGGGCGATGGCAACTACATCCACTCCTACTTCACCGACGGTGCGACGGGTCGATTCCTGGGTTGGTGGAAGGTCGTCATCTACGCCGCCTTCACCATTGCCGGCCCCGACATGATTGCCCTGGCCGCTGGCGAGATCCAGAACCCCCGCCGCACCATCCCTCGCGTTGCCAAGCTCATCTTCTACCGTCTTGTCGGCTTCTACGTCGTCGGTGTCCTCTGCGTCGGCATCATCTGCTCCTCCCGTGACCCCGGTCTGCTGGGTGCCATTGAGAACGGCGAGCCCGGTGCCGGTGCTTCCCCCTGGGTTGTTGGTATCAAGAACCTGCACATCAAGGCTCTTCCCGACATCATCAACGCCTTCATCCTGCTTTCTGGATGGTAAGTTCTCTTTCCTCTGCCAACTTCTACTCTATACTAATGACAACCAGGTCCTGCGGTAACGCCTACCTCTACTCCTGCTCCCGAACCCTCTACGGTCTCGCCCGCGACGGCCAGGCCCCCAAGTTCCTCCAGAAGTGCACCAAGGCCGGCGTGCCCATCTACTGCGTCCTGACCGTCACGCTCATCTCGTGCATCACCTTCCTCGTCTCCTCCAACGCCGCCGTCGAGGTCTTCTTCTGGTTCGTCGACCTGACCACGACCGCCCTCATCATGACCTACACCTTCATGCTCATCACCTACATGGGCTTCTACCGCGCTCGCGTCGCCCAGAACTTCCCTCCCGAGACGCTGCCCTACATCGCGCCCCTGACCCCCTGGTTCCCCGCCCTGGCCCTGCTTCTGGGCTTCCTCGCCCTCATCTTCGTCGGCTTCGACAACTTCTACCCCTTCAGCGTCCGTGGCTTCATCACGTCCTACTTTGGCTTCATCTTTGGCGTCTTCACGTTTGTCATCTGGAAGGTCCTCAAGCGCACGCGCTTTGTCCAGCCCAAGGAGGCCGACCTGCTCAGCGGAAAGGCCGAGGTCGATGCCGAGTGCAGACACTGGGAGGAGGGTGGTATTGAGGAGGTGGAGAGAGCGAGACTGGCCCAGATGTCTGTTGCCCGCAGAACCTGGGAGAAGATGTGGTAAACAGCCACCATGATCTACAAGATACCTGAATTATCGTTTCAATGACAAAAAGTTTCATCATCCACAATGCTCTTTCTGTGTATGTCTCTTTCAGTGCTGGACTGTGTAACCCAAGTGAACCTCGCCTCCCTGTGTCAGGCCATGTCTTTCAAAGCCATCCTTGGAGTCTCAGGGCCCAACATGCCGTGGCCCGGCTTCCTCTTGGCCGAAGACAAGCATCCGATCCCATCGTGTCCAGCCGCGGCAAACCCACATCTTCCCCAGAACCCCAGGCCAAGCACCACCCATCCTCAAGACGGAGACTTGTCCGCGTGTCCATGTCGACTCCATCGCGGCGCTCCATTGCTCCAATTCCTCGCATTCCCCAACACAAAATTACGTAAACTAGCCTCCCCCGCACGGCGACTATGCGGGGTTCAAACGGAGTCGTCCGTCCCCTGCACTTTCATCTGTGTGTGTGCGCGGTCTAGTTCCTGGTAGTTCCTCAAGCCGTGACCTCATCTCGTTACGTTAGTTAGTTAGCGCCGCCAGACAAAACAAGGCCGGCCCGGTCCCTGTGTCGCAGCCAGAGAGAAACCGACAATCGGAGTTGAAGCCCACCTTGCTTGCTGCCCAAGCGATGCGATCAGCAAGATACTCAACCTCCCGACAGAAAGCCTGCCGCCAATGCGTCGCCGCCAAAGCCAAGTGCGATCGGAAGCCCGGATGCTGCGCGCGGTGTGAACAGCGGAGACTCCCGTGTGCATATGCACCGACAAGTCACACCGCGCCGCAGCCAACGCGGTCTCGGCCGGAGTTGAGCCCCTCAGGTCCGGAAGACGACACGGAGACGCCCGGGCGAAGGGACGCAGGCAACCATCTGCCGTCCCCGGAGCATGACGCGTCCAATGATTCGGTCTACTCGGCTTACTCGGCATCAGGCGCGGCGCCGACTGATGCCGTTGGTACTCACGACCCTCCGGGGCCGGGTCCGCTTCCCCCGGCCAACACCGGAGTTGAGCTGGACTTTTCCAACCTGAACCTCACGTGCCCGATCAACCCCGACGACATTGCAAATCGATGGCTGCACAATTTCGTGCCATTGCCGGGCCAAACAGTTAAGAAGTACACCCCAAGCATCTCCGCCTTCATCTATCGGGTGCTGCAATCCTACGCAAACTGCGCAATCCGCGGCCACAGGGTTCCACCCTTCATCCACTGGTCGCAGCTGAACTCCCCATCCAGTGTGCCCCTTTCGACATGTCTATCAGTGATACGCATTTGTGCCAACCCACATCCAGGCAGCGAGGGCGTCATCGCCGAGGTTCTCCAGCGGGAAATGACTAAACTCTACGACAGAAAGATGAGCTTTGACGACATGACCCTGCTGGCGGCCTTCCAGGCGTACCTCATCTACGCGATGGTCATCTTCTTCCGGCTCGGTCGCGAGTACAAGACGTTCTTGCATCAGGCCATGATGAACACGCAAGACCTCGCGTGCGAGACGGCGCGAAGGGGCCTCACGTGCGTTGCAGAGCAGCAGGGTGCCAGGCCGAAATGGGAGGAGTGGATAGTCGCGGAGACGAAGAGGAGGGTGGTGTTCACAATGTGCATGTTTGACAGTGCCCTCCTAACGAATGACGGTCTCCCGAGTCATCTTGCGACTGAGCTTCGAGGGCTGCTTGCCCCCGGCAGCAAGTCTCTGTGGGAGGCGAGGGACCGACGTGACTGGGAGATCAGGTACAACATTCAGCTTGCGGCGTGGAACGATGGAGGTCTGCGGATTGAAGAGCTCTGGCCAATGCCAGAGGATTTTGGCGAAGCAGAGACGGAGAAGCGACGGGAGCGGGTTGATTTGTGGCTGGAAGACCTTGACGAGTATGGGACGATGGTTTATGCCGTCACTTTGTGTACACATGGAGGCTGAGGATGGGGACATGGAAGCTTGGAGGCTCCAGATCAGTTATGATAATCATTCGATGTATGAAAAGTACTATTACCCAGATGATTCCAGCATTCTCAAAGCCTCATTTAGCGTGATGACACCGATGTTCATATTCTTCAACTGAGTTCTGAGGAGACATTCTCTCAACTCCGCGCTACCGTCGCCAGGAAACTCCATCACGTTGTCAGGGATGACGTAAATTTCGTAGTCGAGATCGAACAGGCGGTATACGGTGCTCATGACGACGCCAGAAAGGGTGATGCCAGACTATCATAATGAGATTTGGTCCTGAACCCGTAAACAAATCTTGGACAACTTACAATGATAACCGTGTTGATATCCTGCGCTTTCAACATTTGCTCCAAGGCGTTCCCAGCACCAGCGTACCACCTCGTCTTGTGAAGAACAATGTCCTTCTCGTCCAGCTTCAAACTTTTGTCAATCTGGACTTCTGGGGAGCCTTTCACAAAGTCTCCGAATTCATCAATAAGGTTCGCGAATGGTGAGGGTCTTGCCAGCTCCGGTTGGGAGGAGTTTGATAAGCAGAGAGCGGTGAAAATGGTAAGCGGCCTTGGGTGATGCTGGTGCACGGCTTCGTTCCATCGGACGCAATTAGACACGAAAAGCTTGCCTTCGTCGGTATCCTTGATGCTGTCGAACATGATTGCCATTAAGTCAAGGTTCAGAATGGCGAAGCGCTTGCCGAAGGTTGGGATGCCTTCGCCCGTGGGGTGCACACCTGCCATTCTCATGATGGCACAACAATGAACTGATGATTTCAAGATCTAGAATACCTGGTGGAATGTTTGAAAAATTTCAGTTGAGAGAATCGCATGAATAACCTCGTAATGATGGTCATGTCCCCCAATTACAAACCTGATCTTGTCAAACATCGACGCCGGAGTTGAGCATCTCAACTCCGGAAATGTGGGGCTCAGCTCCGGTCTTGTTCCGAACGCCACAGCAATAAAGTGATAGGGTCGAGTAGTTGATAAAGAAAGACGGAACCTCCTTGTTGAGCCAGTCTAGGATGAAACCTGATCAACAAAGGTTTTGTTTCCCTGATATTGTTTTGAGGTTGACGAAATGGCTGCTAATGAAGAGCAACCAAGCGCATCGGGAATGCCCTTGGTGGAAATACCGTACAGCATATTTGACAAACGCCAAAAAGTGTTGATCATCTTTTTAGTGTCAACGGCGGCCACATGTGAGTATTTACTTAACGACATATTCAAATGAGGGCTGACCAAGTTAGTCTCCGGATTCGCGTCAAACATCTACTTTCCGGCCCTCTCCACCATCGCAGACGACCTCAATGTTTCTGTCGAACTCATCAATCTCACAGTCACCACCTATCTCATCTTCCAAGGTCTCGCCCCGAGTCTCTGGGGTCCCATTTCCGATGTCAAAGGTCGAAAGGTTGCCTATATTGGCACCTTTCTGGTCTTTTTCGGAGCATGCGTTGGTCTCGCCGAGATCAAGACGTACGCTGGCTTGATCGTTCTCCGATGCGTCCAGAGCACGGGCAGCGCAAGCACGATCGCCATAGGGTCTGGCGTCATTGGAGATATCACGACGCGCGAGGAGCGTGGGGGCTTCATGGGCGTTTTCCAGGCTGGGCTGCTGGCTCCTGTGGCCATCGGGCCGGTCATTGGGGGTGCTCTTGCGGGGTCGCTGGGCTGGAGGAGCATCTTCTGGTTTCTGACCATCTACTGCGGAATATTCCTGCTGTTTCTGGTTGTCCTGCTGCCAGAGACGCTGAGATCGGTTGTTGGAAACGGTGAGCGGACGCCGTCGACGTTGCTGCAGAAATACCCGTTGGCGTTTTACCAGCGAACGACGAAGGTGAAGTGGGATGTCGAGGAAACGACGCGCAGCACAGCACCTCGCAAGAAGGTCAACTTGACAGCACCCATTCGGATTCTCTTCAGCAAGCCAGCCGCGCCAATAACAGTCTTCCTCGCCATTTACTACGCCGTCTGGCAGATGAGCATCACCGCTATGTCCACGCTCTTCAAGACCAAGTACGGGCTTTCCGATACGCACATCGGACTGACCTTCATCGCCAACGGAGCAGGGTCTATAATTGGTACGTTGGTGACGGGAAAGTTCCTTGATATGGACTATCAGAAAGTCAAGGCAAAATACGGAGAGCAAGATAACGACTCGGACTTTCCGATCGAAAAGGCACGTCTTCGGCTGGTGCCCGTTTTTGCGCTCCTCCAAGGCGTGTCGATTGCTGTATTTGGCTGGACCATCAACTTTCCAGATAAGGTGCATATTGCGGTGCCCATTGCATCGACTTTTGTCACGGGATGGACAGCCATTGGCACGCAGTCGCTGGTCATGACCTATCTCGTGGACATCTTCCCTGACCAAAGCGCTGCAGCGAGCGCCAGCCTCAACCTGGCGAGGTGCTTGTTTGCGGCAGGAGGCACGAGCTTCGTGATGCCGATGGTCAACTCGATTGGCGTTGGATGGGCCTTTACCGTTTGCGTGGCGGCGCAGGCCGTCGCTGTTCTTCTTGCTGGCGTGCAGTGGAAGTTTGCTGGAAGATGGAGGGTTCAGGAGGCTGCAGGGCGGGTATGAGCAGCGAATCTGGTTGGATGTTGGCCACGAACGTGACCAAGAAGATGGTCAAATGGCGAAAGGCTTACTTTGAATTGGTGCAGATAGACAAAAGCATTCTTTGAGCCCGAGATTCCGAGAGTTTTCAAGTATGGACGAGATGATGCGAGGCAGGCAATGGCAACAGATTAGTAAGAGTCTGGCTGCCTAATGTCTGCCGGCGGAAGGTGAAGTTGAAGCAGGTGCCTTCCTCGTGAGATGAGATTGAGGTTGAGGAAGGAGGCCCTGAGGTGTGCTTTCCTCATCTCAAACAAAGGCATCATCACTCTTTCTTCCTTTGCTCCTTCCACGTGAGCTAGAGTCGACTTATGCCTGCCTCACTCCTGCCTTGGGAAGCAGAAAGCGCATCTCGCGCCTTCTTTCCCACCGACGCGTCGACCCGTGACCTTGGAGGCTTCCACCTTGAGAACTCGGCGTCGGCCTTTCCTCGCGGCGCAACTCAATCTCTGCACCTGCCCTCCTTGTTGACGCCTTCTCCCTCTCTCAAGGTTCACGGTGTTGTCCCGGTCAACCACAAAACTCCTTCCTTTTCACCATTCTCACCACATTCAGACCTCACCTTCTCTTTCCCCTTCCCTCCCACTCCTCCCAATCACGCGGCTCACGATCGCCAGCACCGCCAAGATGGCTCCTCAGGACGAGAAGCTCTGCTTCGATCTCGACTTCCGCTACTTCCTTGCCGCCAAGGACATTCCCGCACACGTCGCCTGCCTCTGGCAGTACTTCTCTCTCGCCAAGTGCCGCAAGGGTCTCGAGAGCTGGGTCGTCTCCGTTCCCGCTGCCAAGCATGCCTCCAATGCCAAGGGCTCTGACCGCGTCCAGCTGCTGCGCTTCGGAGTATGTGAATTTCATCGCGGATCCCCTCAAAACCTCAACTTCCTCCATCTCAGGCTGACCCTTCACACAGATCCGCTTCACCCACAAGACGGCCACATACGCCGACATCGATGAGGCTCGTGTCATTTTGAAGGACGCCTTCAACACTGCCGCCCAGCACGTCCGCGGCATGAGCAACGCTCCTGCCCGTGAGCGAGGCCTTCTCGAGTACAACAAGCTGCTGCGTTTGTATGTCACTGTCAAAAATGATAATTCCTGGTCCTGGGGCAACTGGGGATTGAGCTCCTACTACTACAACGGCACAACCCCCGACGACGATTCCGCCATATCCGCCATGGAGCGCTTCAAGCAGAAGTATCAGGAGGTACGTCCTACTTACCTTTTTACTCCCCCCATTCACATCCTGACAACAATCCAGACTGTTCCTTGCGATGTCACCCTTGACACCCCCGCCTACACCTCCTCCGCTGCCTCGGAGCTGCTTGCCGAGACCTCCGGAGACAAATGGCGTCTGCGAAAGCTCATCCCATCACTCAACCGCAGACGGGATGTCGATATCTTCAACGATCGGGTCCGATGGGCCATTGAGAACCACGCCACCATCCTGGCATGTGCCACCGAAGCCCACAGCAATGCCCAGCAGGCGTCCGACTCCGCCGCCGAGGTGACCAAGTTCTCCAACCCCAAGGAGAAGAGTGCCATCCTCAACAGAAGCATGTGGGAGAAGTTTGCCAGCCTCTTTGACAGAGACCACCACAACAAGTACACGGAGGCCACGGCGAAGCTCAATGACCGGGCAGTCTCCCTCCAGGAGGATGCCAAGGCAATGAAGGCCCTGGTAACTCAAGGTTGGCCCTCCTCCCTCTCCCATGATCCCACTGGATCATACCTACAACCGCATCATGTGCTAATTATGCCGACAGTCAATGCCCAACTTGCGCAGCACGCGTGCGCTTGCAGACTTCTCACTCTCTACGCCAACACCAATATTGAGCATGATCAACTGCTGTCTATCTGGGAGCGCCCCGACGCGGACAAGAAGTTGCTGATCAGCCTCCTTGGCGCCGACATAGCGCAGATGGAGACTCCGACCGGTCGCATCTCTAAGCTGTGCAACGAGATGGAAAGGTTTGAGGCGGGTCAGCGTGCGCTGCGTAAGGGAGAGACGAAGCTCGTGAAGAGCCTCAAGAAGATGGAGGGCAAGCTCGAGCGCTTGAACAAGGACTCGGTCAAGGCCCGGAACAAGTTCGCTGCTGGCCAGCTGCGCGCGCAGAAGGGCAAGTTGTCGGGCAAGTTGGAGGATCTGGAGAGCGACACGGACAGCGCCTACTCTTACGACGAGAAGATGTAGAGGGGGTGCCTTCTGAGAGAATTTGCCAGGATGTCATGGAGACAGGACGTTTCTCGCCTTCACAAGGGTCATACGCCATCATGTCGTTAGATTTGCTGAGGTTTCGGGGTTTTACGATTGACAATGTGGCTGAATGCAGACAAGGATTCACTGGTCCGTATGTTTTGTAAACCAAGTTCTTCCAAGTGCAAGGTGACAGGTTGCATCCCAAAAAGGAAAACGCTGTGAGGTACTTGGTGGTGGAAGCCGGAGGCCGTGATTCCCGTCGTGTTGAGTCTGAGAGAGTATAAGGAGATTACATAAGGCGGGATCGAGTGGATCAGGACCGGGCGTCGGCAGTGTCCCTTGAAGCTAATCTTGACTGGGGATAGCGTTCCGCGATCTTCATTTTGGTAGGGAATTTGGGGGAGGCCAAGGCGCTAAAAGCGAGAGGGCTCTCCCGGTTTGTGTGAAGCTGGACACCTGGAGTGGTGTCTGTCGCTGCAATTGGTGGCGATGTTGCAGCACATCGCCCGGTTTGTGTAGCTACCTGCATGTTCGGGGCGGGAGCTGTCATGCTGCTCAGGGTAGGAGGAAGTATATCAATGGCACGCTGATCTCATGTGTTTTGCATGTTTGTTCCACGATGATGGCATCCATCTACTCAGTCGGTGGTGGTGACAAAGGAAACGAAACAGTGTTGATGGAGACGACTGCAATTTGCAAGAGGACAATCCCTCATCCTTGCCAGGGATTGCCGCATTGCCGCAGCGGTGCATGATGGTTGTTTCTGCTGTTTGGTTGGGTGGTTTTGTGAATGGCAGCAGGCTGAAGGATCAAGTGAACCACAGGCAACAAACAGCAGGCGGGGCTCTTTCCAGGGCGGACGCTAGGGTGCCCAGATGGAATGTGCTCCCCATCCACTGTGACTGCCCCAAACCTTCGGTTCTGTTTGGTTTTACGGATACACTGTTCAGCGGCAGCCGTCAAAAATCGTCCTTTCCCGTCTGGTCTTGGCGCCCTCCCTCCACCTTCAATTCAAATCAAAGCCTTTCCTCATTGTCTCCTTCCCCTGACGACGAGGGGCTAGTATTATCTCCTTGTAATGAACCTGCCAGCACCCGTATTTGCTTCCTAATAATTTCTTCTCTTTCCTTCAATTGTGCCTCTCTTTGGCTCCTCGACGCAGCCACCCTTCCTCGGCCGGGCCTGACACGTCGAGCCTGCATCGCCATCCGACCTCACATTCCTGCGACACGTCTGCGAGACAAGCCACATGCGCCGCCGCCCTTACCCCTCTTGTCGCCTATAATTATTGCAGACACCGCTACTCCTCCACCGACCACCAGAAACTCGTTTCTATTCCACACGCAAGTCGGCGTTGCACGACACCACCGCAAACATGGCTCGTCCAAGCAACGAAGAACGCCGCTCGTCCTCCGAAGCATTCGACCTCGACGACGAACACAAGGAGCCATTGCTGCCTGGCACACTACCACCATCTCGGTCAAGGAGGAAAGGGTCTCTTCTGGCCTGGCTCAAGGGTAGGCCACGAGCCGTGCTGAGAGCCTTCCGTCGTCAACCTCGATCTCTCCCCCGACTCCTACTGCGATACACCTTCATCTTCCTTCTCCTGATCTTCGTCACGACGCCCATATTCTTCCCCTCCTACACCCGCCACCCGAAACATTACAAGGACCTGCGGAAACGATGCCTAGTGTCCGACAGCTTGTCCGGCTGCGCGAACCTCCAAAACGAAAAGGTCTTCATCGCAGTCAGTCTGTACGACCCCGAAGGAAAGATTGCCGGCGGAGAGTGGGCGCAAAACGTCCTGGATCTGATACACATGGTTGGCGAGGACAACGTGTTCTTGAGCATTTACGAAAACGACAGCGGCGAGCAAGGCGCCGCTGCCTTGGAGGAATTCAAGAAGAATGTGCCGAGCAAGCACAAAATCGTCATCGACGACCACGTCGACTACAACATCTTCCCCCACATCACCATGCCCGACGGCACACAGCGACTGAAGCGCCTCGCCTACCTCGCCGAGATGCGCAACCGCGCACTATACCCCCTCGACCAGTTTGACCCCGACGTCGAAGTGGTCCAGTACGACAAGATCCTGTTTCTCAACGATGCCATGTTTGCGCCGGTCGATGCCGCCCACCTGCTCTTCAGCACCAACACTGGCGACGACGGGCGCACCCACTACCTCTCGGCCTGCTCCATCGACTTCGACTGGAACGTGTTTACGGAATACGACCTCTACGCCCAGAGAGACGCGCAGGGGTACTCAAACGGCATCCCCATCTTCCCCTATTTCACCAACGCGGGCCAGGGCATCTCTCGCAAGGCTATGGTCTCGCAGACAGACGCGGTTCCCGTCAAGAGCTGCTGGGGCGGAATGGTGGCCATGCAGGCCAAATGGATCCAGAACATGGACAAGCAGCTGCCCACCAAGGACTGGCAGGCTCCTGCGCACCATGTCATCAACCCGGATCACCCCCACAACGCCACGGCCCCGGTGCGCTTCCGGTATGAGCCCGAGGTGTATTTTGATGCCTGCGAATGCTGTCTGTTCCTGGCGGACGTCTCGACCGTGGCAGAGAAGGCCGGCGAGATGGACACGGGCGTGTTCGTCAACCCCTACGTGCGCGTCGCATACCGGAAACGGACGCAACGGCTTGAGCGCCTCGTCCGCCACTGGGAGAGGCTCTTTGCTCTGCCTCAGGGCATCATTACTCACTTCTCGCGGTTCCCCACGCCGAACCCGCACCGTGAGGTGGTGGAGGGCCAGCGCTTCCAAGAGGAAATCTACCAACGTAGGGAGGGGTGGAAGATGGTGGAGCGGACGGGCCGCAACGGTATGTTCTGCGGCGTGCGCGAGATGCAGCTCATCAAGGAGGGGCCGCGTGTGGGCAAGAACTGGGAGAATTGGTACCAGATCCCATGGGCGGAGCAGAAGCTGCACTTTCCCATTTGAGAAGTCAATGTTCATGATACGGCGTACTGGTTTGGAGGCATATTTATTTCGGATGGCAGGTATGGTGTTGGAATGAAGTCATGGGGGAAAAAAGGGGGGAGTAATGAGTCTATCGCGGGACCTATATAGATACCACCCTCGCTCACGTCTGCATAATTAGAGGTTTGAATATTTCCCGTCAGCTGAATCCCCTATCGTTGTTGCATGCTTGTCTGAGATGCTGATATCAGGGCAGTCACGGTTTGGTCATTCAAAAACATCACGACCTGCCGAGAGATGTGAGCAGCAGCAGATGAACGTTTCTGTATTAGACACCCTTCGTCTTCAAGGTCTCCCTTCCGTCGCGTAAACACACTACACCCGTCCCAAAACCAATCATGCTCGTTTGAAAAGTAAGCCTGCCTTTCCCCCAAGGCGGCGACAGCAACAACAATGTCATCAAAGCAGCAGCAGCCAGCAGACCCTCGTTAAAACCCAGCCGTGAAGAAATCCCGTGTGTCCCGTAAAATAACCCACGGCCCAAAACAAATCCCTATAAAACCCGCACGCTCAACTCGGGGAGGGGGAAACAAAAAAGGTGGTATCTCTCATCATTGGGGGAAAAGAAACACGTCGTGGGGGATGTATGTGAAGAGGTGAAACGCGTCGTCAAGTCTCCGTGGAGAAGGAAACATCGCGTGGGATGTACGCAGTAGAATGGCTTTGGCGGGAAAGACATCTAGGAGGCGACGGGCTCGAGGGCGTTGGCCTTTGCCTTGGCAGTCTTGGGCTTGGTCTCCTATTATTTTTGTCAGTTTCTGTTTCTTTCGTCCATGATTTCCAGAGGAGGGCATGCCTTCTTGCCGGCCTTGGTGGCTCCGCTGACCTTGGTCGACACCGACTTGGCGACGGACTTTGCCTTCTGGGCGACGGTAGGCTCCTTCTTGGTGGTGGCGGCCTTCTTCTTGGTGATGCCGACGGGCTTCGCAGCGGCGCTGGTCGCACTGGTGCTCTTCTTGGGCTTGTCGGCAGTGGTGGTGGTGGAGGAGCGCGGCTTGCGGACGGGGGCGGTGTCGATGACGGGGAACACGCGCGGCTTGGAGTTGCCGGTCTGCGAGCGGGTTCCTTCGCGGGCCATTTTTGCGGATTTTTTCTGGGTGTCGCGTTAGGGTTTCTTATATGCGGAAAAGAAGAAGAGATTGACGCGATCAAGGCGAGGTGAATGCGATTGCGGGAGGAGAAGGGGGTGGATTGCGCGACCGTGAAGCGGATGGCGCTTTGGAGGGGGTGGTTGCGTTGTGTTGTGTGTGTGGGATGCGCGGTGAGGAAGGGCTTACCTGGGAGACGGGGGTTTGGGGGAGATAGCTTCGGGAGCTGTAGCGGAGAGTTATTTCTGGGATAACGGAAAGAAACGAAGCTTTGCGACGAAGAAGACGGGAGATGTAAAGGTGTTTTTTTGTTGTTGTTGAGAAGAGAAATGTGGGAGGTGACGTGGTTTTCGCGAGGGGGTATGGACGGGTTGGATGGATGGACTGGATGGACGGGCGGATGGCAAGGTCACAAGGGGCGCGGACTGGACTGGATGGCGAGCAACAGAACAGGAACAGCAAGAGGAGCGGTGTCGGACAAAAACAAATGGAAAGGGCTGGGCTGGACCAGCAGCAGCAGCGAGAAGCAGGGGAAATTTGATCTGAGTGATTGATGGATAGCTGGTATTAGCTTCCCCTTCTCTTTCCAGGTTAGCGACCAAGGAGGACAAGAATGAAACGGGGGACTTGATGGTGGTGGTGTGCGGTGCGGCCGAGGCCGTGAACATCAATCAGCACTCGTCAATCAGCAGCGAGAGAGGGGGGAACCAGCAGGTCCTCCCACCTTGTTCCGTCGCGTCTCTTCTCTCTCTTCTCCATCTTTCTTTTTCTCTCTTGTTTTTCCTTGATTTAAGTTTCTGTGCGTTGGTGCCCTCTGTTCGTCATATCAGAAAACAAGATGATGGCGTCCAAGCTTTGAGGACATGTTCTTATCAGACAAGGAAGAAGAGCGCAGGGACAGACGGTATCTCTGACAATAGATGGATGAGCTGAGCTTGGCTGGCCGGGCGGACGGTCAGATATCGCGCCCCCTTCTCGACTCGACGTGTCTCTAGTCTCCCCCTCTTCTCCGTTGTCGACATGCTTTCCCCTCCCATTGTGTTTTCCCGTCATGTTTCATCCCCCGGATTCATCTGCTCATAAACACCGCCCTCCTCGTGTTCTTTTGTCCTTTCGTAACAACAGAAGAGGAGATACGGGGGCAGCACTCGGAACAGGCGGCTTGCGTCACCGGCACCCAAAACTTGCCCATCAATCTCTCTCTTTTACCCAGATCCTCAGAGATTTCCATGCTCTCTTATCGTCATTGTCTCATATCCCACCAAGCACATGATCGTCCGGCTGGGTGTTTCGTACGGGAAGGACAGAGCACGCGACGTTTTTGGCGTCGACAAGCTTCTTTTTTTAGGCGCGCAATCGCATGCTTGTCGTTTTTTATTTTTCTTCATGTTTCTTCAGCGGGCACTTCAGCGAAGCGGTTCACCTGGACCGTGCAGCACAAGCGTCGCCCGTGACCTCACCTCGGCCATCCATTCCAGCGAATATGTCCTTGTTCTTTGTCTTTCTCTCGAGATTGACGAAATTGACGGGTTTGCCGCCTTTCGCGAGGGAGGCTCGATGCAAATGAGAATAGAGTTGAGGCACGAAATGAGGTCGGCCGTAACTGTGCCGATCCGTTAAGCTGAAGAGGCGTTTGGGTTGCGCAGCGATAAGGCAAGGTTCTCCACAGACTCAGCCCGTTGAGCACTGTCCTTGTGCTGCTATTTTTGCGCAGTTCGGGGAACCGTTGGGCTCCACATTTTCCCGCCCTAGATTCAGGGTCTGCCATGTGAGGCTATTCCCAGATCCCTACAACGTTCGAAACTGCGCTGGAGACTGGTGAGACAAGGGTCCTCACCTTCGTCTTATCAGGTCAGAAAAGTGATTTGATAATCACTTTCGATTGGAGTCTTCTGGCGTGGCTTGCTCAATGGTCTAGATTGGACTACAAGCCGCGAACGACAGCAAAGGTCAAAGGAAAGCTCTTCAGAACGGCAAAAGGTCCGCTGCAGATCCACCAATTGACACCACCATGTGCCAGAAGCGAGACCTGAAAAGCCTCCAGGGAAGCAGCTATTCCTGTAAGACGGTGCAATGAACGTACGGTTACCCCCATGTTGCAGATTCAAAGTGGAGACTGAACCAACAGTTGAAGACTTGAAGCAGACGAGAATGGCTCGGCGAAGAGGGGTAGTCCAGCCCTCCCCTTTAAAGCCCGACAAACGCACGTTTCTTCAGCGCTCGGCGAGAACCAGGGTGATTTGGTACTCATACATCTTCGAGTTACAAAGAACAAGATGACCGATCAACAGCAACAAGGCGCCGCAGAGGCTGCTGCCGCGCCTGCTGCCACTGCTTCCCCCACTGCAACCTCGCCCACTCCCGTTACCACGATTACGGCAGCGCAAGCCACAGCCGCCGCAGCTGCGACAGGCGCCGCCGACATCGAAGCCGACGAAGCTGCTGATAGCGATGATGCCTCTTCAGTCGCCGGCTTCTCGCGGGTTACCGAGTCGCAGGCCTCGCTGAGATCAAGCATCCTCGACTACCGCCGCGAGAACGGGCGTACCTACCACCGCCTCAGCGAGGGCAAATACTACCTGCCTAACGATGCCCGCGAGCAGGACCGTCTCGATATCATCAACCATCTCTGGGCAATCGTATTCGACGACGGCTTCTGCTCCTGCCCAAAGAACGACGGTGCCAAACGCGTTCTTGACCTCGGCACCGGCACCGGCGCCTGGGCCATGGATTATGCGGATGCGTATCCAGACGCCCACGTCATCGGCGTCGACTTCAGTCCAATCCAACCAGCCTATGTGCCACCCAACTGCTCATTCGAAGTTGACGACGTGGATAAGGAGTGGACCTGGTCCCAGCCGTTCGACTTTATCCTCAGTCGTAACATGAACATGTCTTTCACAGCCGAGGGATGGGAAAACATGATGAGGCAAGCCTACGACGCGCTTGAGCCCGGCGGCTATCTTGAGATCCAGGACAGCCGCTGGCCACTTACCTCCGACGACGGTTCTCTGACCGAGGACCTCCCATTATTCAAGTGGAGCCAAATGTTGACCGAAGCTGCCGACAAAATTGGACGCCCAGCAAACATCACCGAGACTTTCGACGACGTTATGAGGAAGGTTGGCTTCGAGGATGTTCGGAAGACGCGCATTCGCTTCCCCATGTCGCCATGGCCCAAGGATCCGAAGCTCAAAGACATAGGCATGTGGACCCAGGCGTCCCTTCTCCCTGGCCTCGAGGGCATGTCTCTTGCTCTCATGACTCGAGAGATGGATTGGTCCAAGGAGGAAACGATGATTCTGTGTGCTCAGGTTCGAAAAGATTTGAGCAATCCCAAGATTCACGCCTATTGGAATGGATATGTAATTTACGGGCGTAAACCTCTGGAGGCCGAGAAGGAAGATGCCTAATTTTGACCTTACATGTCCCGAAAGAAGGAGAAAGCCTTGGACAGGAGGAATCCAGTAAGAGCAGGCGAAGACAGGGCACCTGGTCTCACTAGAGCGACTACTTTTAATACAAGCTCCTGTATACTCCATTAAACTGTTGTTGTCTTCGTGATTGTCGTCGCTATTGTTGCTATCGTTGTTAGTATCGTTGTGGTTAGTGTCGTCACTGCCCGTCATTGTTGTCGTCATTTTCTGGGATGGTATTATTGTTGCCGTCATAATTGCTAGCGTACCTCCAAGCGATTACAAAAAGTACACAAAAAATAGGTATGGTTGCGCAGACACAAAAAACACTAGATGGCGTTGCCAGTGTTGGTGAACAGACCGGTGCTGCGAAGTCGTTGATTCAGGAATGCCCCATTCCATTACATCCTCTATCTCCATGCACAGAGTCGCCCCACGAGCCCACTTAGACAAAGCTGCCCTGTCTCTGAAGTTCGGCGAAATACCTGTCTGCCTTCTTTGTAACGTCCTTTGAGCGTTGAGTGCCGACTCGCCAGGCGACGAGAGTAAGGAAAGTAAGCCCCACAGTCAACACCGCGAAGAGCCAGATATGCTTTGACACGATGGACTCTCCTGCGCTGGCTTCCCAATTGAACATGTCCATCGAAAATATCGCCGCCACGCTCGAGAGCGGTAGGTATATCATGGTGAGAATGGCGATTGTCCTCATCTGCGCACTCTCGTGCCGAGTATCAAAGGCCATAGCTCGATTTGCTTTGGAGATTTCCGTGGTTGTGAAGGAGTCCTTTCTCATCATGTGATTCCATACCTGTTGGCGGTCAGCGCTAACAGAAATGGGATGAGCGCGTCTCAATGGGAACAACATACCGTTTGCATGGCGAGAGACGTATTGCAGACGACCTTGTTGCACTCATCAATCTTGTCGTCGTATTCGCGGATGATATCCTGAACACGTTTCCTCATATCCCGCCCGATCTTTCCCAGCTCTGTTTTCATTGCAGGACTCTCAGTCCAACCATCCTCTGGACCTAGTGAACGAAGCTCATCGGCAACCTCGTCCATCTCATCTAGGAACTTCGAGAGCTGGCGTTTAGAAGCTTGGATGTGATCAACCAGATTCCGACTGCGCAGGCACACATTCAAGTAGGCCTTTTGCGTTTTCTGGCCGTCTTCATCTGCTTTTGGATCAATATTCCACGGTTTGCTCTCGAGCTGGTCGGAGTTCAGGGTGAATTCGTCCACCAACTGGTCAACGGCGTCGAGCAGTCTCTTGCGCTCAAGTTCGACGAATATGCCTGACATCAGTAAGGGATGATTGCGTTGCTCATTTGACCTCCGGATTCTTTTTTCAATATCATCCATTTGTTTCTCAGTGCAGCCATAGACGACTGCAAATGTTGAGCCGGTGCTCGGGATGTAAGTAGACGACAGCGCCAAATCGTCGCGTAAAGTCAGAGCCATCCGTGCTGTGAAACCTAAGGATCATACTCAGCAAAGCCTGATTTGCTGCGAATGGCTTCAATAATTACCTAGTTTAAGTCGATGTGAGTCTGAGTCGTGATGTGGCAGGTAGGAAAAGCAGGCAACGTCTCTCAATATGGTTCTGGTGATTTCTCGGTGGACATGGAATTCCCTTGTGATGCGGCTCCATGTGGACTTGAGCATCGGCAGATAACTAGCCGGCGCTTGCCCTTCCCCTTCGAAGATACCACCAGCTCTACTGCACATACTAGGCCCAAGACTCAGCTTCAAAACTCGATGGCCGGGGCGTCTTTTGACTTACATGACATAAATCCCTGGGAGAAACTTGTCCCATGATGGAGATACTCCCGGGGCCTAGAAATCGGTAAGTTAACAGTCGCAAGATGATGGTGACCACCAGTAACATACACGACTGAACCAGTTATCCCAGTCCTCCTTCGTACTTAGTTCTTCTCTAGATGTCTCCTGTGTGTGTGAATTCTAATTAGCTACGCCTTTGGTGTCAGGAAAATGGCTCAATTTTAAACCTACCTCATCGCTATCAAGCCTTCTAAGAACGACGGCTTTTCTTTCTCCTAATCCGAAGAGCTTCAAATCGGATTCACTCCATTCCCTGGGTTCCTGAGGAAGATCCATTTCTAGCACACGTGAAAGTGGGATTGGGGCACTATTCAATGGAAGGGAGACGCTGCAGTCCAACAGATGGCTCGGGAGTGCAGGTGATCGCCTGCGCTTTAAACAGTCTGCTATCTGCACATTCCCCTCTCCGAACCACTTTGACGCCTCTCCTCCCGCCTCGCTGAAAGCCTGCAGCTTATCTAGAACGCCCTCTGCCCCCCTTAAGCGATCGTGCTTGAAGGCCGTGACGGTTCCAAGACCGATTGGGCGCTCATGAGATTTCTTGCAGGTCGCGAGTCGCATCATTCGACATGACATGCTTGGTAGTGGAGCAGCCGGCAGCGCCCATGTATGCGTTGTCCGGCGGCCATTGGGAATAGTACCATGCAGCATGCAGAGACAGCTCCAATCGCGAGACACACCACTCGCATGTACGACCCATACGATTTGACTCTTGAGCCTCTGGTCTGCTGAGCATGCCTCCCTCCACTGGAGCCCCTCCCTTTTCCATTTCGGACTTTTTCCTCTTTTTTGTACCGAGAACATCGCTGCACAGCAAAATCGCAGACACATTCTCCAAGAACGCAGTGAAGTTTTGCGGCCCAAGCGCGCAATCCGGCAACAGCTGTTCAAAACACGTTACGTTATACAGCATGGCTGATTTAAAGAAGCCTCCGTCCAAGGAGCCTCTCTCCAAGGAGTCTCCAACGACAGACTGGCATCGGGAGACGATGCGAACCAAGTATCACGATCCGGTGAAGCTGAAGGACACCCTGAACAAGATGTTCGGCGAGAACAACTACAAAGTGAGGGTATGAACTTCAAGTCAGATTCTTATGGCTTAGGGATATCTAGTCTAACATATGAAACACCCAAGGTCATCAATAACCGATATATCCTCATGCTCTCTAGACAGCCGAGGCAGGTAAGAGAAAATCGTCTCCGATACTCCCTCTGTGCTGTTCTCTCTCTTCCTGCATTCACTGTAATTCTTTGGACGATAGATAAACCACTGACAACCATCGCATCAACAGGGTGAAATGGAAAAGCTTGAAGAAGAGGCCAGGGAGCACTACAACGAATAGGTCAGCAAGAGGATACATGAGCTCGGAGGGTTTCCGTGTAATCTAACTCACACGTATCATTCAAAAATGCGGTCCGAACCGGGCCACACATCGCTTGAGCTCGAGAGGCCCATAAATACGTTATCCACGAAATGAAGAATATCGTCTTGTACACCATTGCCACAAATATACTTCGCATCGGTAGAGCTGCTGGGGAGGGATCTTCACTTCAATGGCCGTCGCGTCCCAAGATAGTAATCGTCATCAGCTTTGCAAGCCTTCAATAGCTCGTGCATTCTCTTCGTGAGTTGGTTGGCCCTCATGCGATTGTCTGCATTGGGCTCGAGCATTCCATTCTTGATCACTTCCAATAAGTCCCAGAGATACCATGAACAGTCGGGGCGGTGTTGCAACTTGTGAATCCATGACAAGACTGATGGCTTGATGTGCGCCCGTTTGTCCTTAACCGAAAAGAAGATATCGGACTCGAAACCGTAGATATCGTTCGATAGTCTTTTCCCGGGGAAGACGTTTTCGACAGCGTCGAATCCAAGAAAGAACCAGGTGACATACTCCAACAAGACGCAGCCAAGACTGAAGATGTCGGACCTGGGGGAAACTTGGCCAAACGGCAGGTCGAACTCAGGGCAACGATACGATGCCGATCTTTCAATGTTCCTTGGGTCTTGCTTGGACCGGGATACTTGAGTATGCAATCTTCCCAGACCGAAGTCAGATAACGCCAAGAGGCCGGGGAAGCTATCGGAGTGAAACCAAAGAAAGTTTCCTAGAATTTGTCAGAAAATATATCTCGTTGCCAACAGTCCTTTGCCATACCTGGTTTAATATCACCGTGTCTTCCATATAGGTCTTCATTTGAATCGCGATCTTCCAAGTAGCGCATGGTTGGGGCTCGATCATTGTGAACACACTGTAGAGCTTCGGAGATCTCATGAAACTGCTCAGCCATCCACAGACAATGACTTTTCTTCCCGACGAGACCTTCGTTACTTTGCCAGAACTTGCTTAGATCGCCCTCAGCCCAGTCGAACAATAGGTAGTAGGTTGAAAGTCCTCCAGCAGCGGGATTCACGACCTCGAATGTTGCTAGCAACTGGATCAGATGCTTCTTCGTATAGTTCTGTCCAGTGAACAACAACGAAGACAGCTCCAAGTCGAAACTATTCCGGTTGTGGGACGTAAGCTTTTTCAAGGCGAAGAACTCTTGAGGGTGGCGGATCTGACCAGATCGAAGATTAGCTGAGTAACTGGAAAGTCGGGAACATGTAACGTACTCCATGGTCCCCAAAGTCCCAATGACCATCATGGATCTTGACTTTGTAGACTTCACTGAAACCTCCGTAAGTATTACCTCCACCAGAAGGAGCATCCTTTTGCGTGGCCTCCGAGCTGTCATCCTGTGTGACTTTGTCGATGATCTCCACAGGAATGATGTCTCCGGTTTCCAAAACGTAATGTGAATGCAATGACGGCTCCCATTTGATGAACGGCGCGTTCAATGTATGAGACCACTTCGAAAAGTTTTCGCGGATTTCTGGACGAAGATAACTGTTGATAGTGCCGTGCATTCCGTGTTTTCGACATTTGAGGAATTGGTCTTTGGTGGCACCGGTTGGCTGAAGCGGCAAACAACTATCTCTTACTCCATCCTTGAAGTGTTTGGCGAAGTCCTCCACCTTGTAAATGCCCACCAGGACCGCCAACAGTTTCACGGCAGGTCCCTTCGAACCATCCGAGTTGCCATAGTATAGTTCCTTTGCAAGCTCCTTCTTATTCGGCTCCTTTCTGAAACATCGGAGAGTAGACACAACCCTATAAACCGACTCGAAAGTCAGGATTATGTCGAACTGAGGTTGTGGTATGAATCGCTTCTCTGGCTCCAAGGCATTCGATGTTTTTGCCTGGTCAAGCTGTAGGCCAAGCTGTTCGACTATGTCTTCATCGTCGGAGTCCTCATTTATCTGCCCGTTAGACCCGTTCACCCGAGAAACTGCTTGCTGTTTCCTCTCCCTCTTTAACCTAAAGGCTTCTCCTCTGTCAAGTACTTTCTGAACGCGCTTCGGGTCATCCAGGATAAGCTTTGAAGACGACTTTAGTTGCATGAGCCCCGAGAACTCCTGGGTAGCATCACGAGGCATAATGGGCTGTCTCCTTGCCGTAGCTGTGGTATGCAGTAAGCTTTCCGCCATCTTGACGCTGATGAAAGGTGAGGCTAACCAGCCATTTGAAAGGGCCTATCAGTGCTATTGATGACTGGATTGATGGAGAGGCTGCGATGAAGTCGATTTTAGCCACTGTGATGTTGGCAAATGCAAATAATGACAGAGCAGATCGGTGTTGTCGAGCCAACAGCGATCGAGTTGGATAGGGCAGCGAACGATATCAAAGTACGATGTCTCCGCGGAGACCGGGAAACGAGGCAAGGCCAGTGTATGGCCAGAGAAGAGGGTAATCAAAGGTTGAAATAGCCCTCTCGTTGCTCGGTGTGTGCTGGAAGAGGGAGTAGCTCCTGCATCCATGATTTGCTGGCTTTATTCTATTCCATCACTCTCTGCCTGCAAGACTTGGCCTTTTTAGGAAAGCCTCATCCTCCGCCCTGCCACTGCGATGGTTACTTTGCTCAATTATGGGTTCAAAGTGCGAGGCGCAGGGTTGATAAGGCCAGGCAGGATGGGCAAGGCAACCGCACGAACGGGTACAAGAACCGTGGTCAAATTGAAAGCGCCGAAAAGAGGGCAGAGATGTGATTGGGCTGGTACATCGGATCCAGGAGACTGCAGAACAATCTTTCCACGTGCAAGCGAGGATGTGTGCCTCATTCCACAATGCAAGCATGGTTGGTGGGAGTGGAGACTGGAGGACTGAGAACTCATGCAGACCGATTTTCAGCACTCACTGACGCAAAATATTTATGAATTATCATAATTCCGGCTCTTACGTTGTGCTTTTGGTTTGGCGTTGTCACTGCATGGTGGTCTTACTTCACGATCAGTGGCCGTCTCGACAAGTGATAATACGACATCAGCCACTGGTTGAATTTCACGAACTCTGAAAGTGATTATGCTTGAGTTTTTGAAGATTCATGAGGCGCCCACGACGAGGATTTTATTCACAAAGGCCGTCTGTGCTGATGGAAGAGTTGCCCATTACCCGCTCTGTTCCCGAAGTTGCCCAGCCTTTAAGGCGCAGCTCTGTGGCAGTGTATGCACTCCCAGCAGGCTATCTGCGTTGTGGGTGGTACAGTGAGCCCATGACTGCATCCTTCAAATCCAGGGTGTGCCAATATTTCACTCCTTAGGTGCTAGTAGCATGATCATCCTGGTCGAGCCAACTCACTTTGCAGGAAGGCGAGCGGCAAAGCCGTCTAGGTCGCATGGGTCGCACCCGAACAGCCCCTACCGTCCAATCGGGGAGCTCACTGATAACACTTCACCATGTTGTAAACATGGCCAGCGGTGACCTGCATGGTCTGGATATGTCCGACAATCAAGACATCAGGCGGTGAGGATGGATTTGAATGTTCAAAAGCCTGCTGAATCCTATTACCCTTTGAATGATCTCGTGATTATTGTCTGCGCAAGGTGGCGAATCACAATTTGCCCATGGTTTTCTCTCGGTCATTCCCGCAGGTTACTTTGATTTTCTCGTCGTTGCCTTAAAATAATTTGGGGAGAGCAGGCGACCGGGTCGCAAACCTCTGGCTTAACTACCAAATTCCCGAACATCCCGAACCTTTGAACTTCCTCAACATGTCGAGACAATTACGATCAACTCCCAAGGTCCAGTGGCAAAGCAACAAGGACGGAAGCAGAAATGCATTCATCTCCGCATCCCAAGTAAGCTCTAGCCAGCTGAAAGAGTATCTCGACTCCAACTACCCAGGAGGATATTCCGTTCAGGTGCGCTCTTCCGGGTGAACGATTTGCAGCACTCTAACTAACGTATCCCGCTAGCTGAAGCGTGACAAATTCAAAATCACTATCGTCGAGACATCAATGGGACAATTGATCTAAGTAAGCTTCAAAGGTCTCGTCTCGTACCGAGAAGGTTTAACGCGAGATTGTGCAGCACCCTCGGAAGAAAATTGAAACGTGCGGGTATTTCAGCACTAGGAGTTCAGCGATATTATTCCTGTTATGGCGCACTGCGGACCACAGCAGCCGTGACGCCACAATACTGCATACAAGGCCAGAGAACGGCTTCACGGCGCAAAGACCAGGGCGAAATGGAGAACATGGCTTCAACGTGAGAGGGTTTTGAACGTGCCGGAAATAGTCATTAAGTACGCGACCTCGGAAAATCAGTTCATTTTAGAGCAATCAAGTCAACCACCTTGACAACGTGTTATTTGGACCATCAGGGACTGCGTGAGCTTTATTCATCACCTGGATGGCCAGCCGAGTCTATTTTGCGGAAAGTTAAACCAAATTGGGCTACGTGACCTCGGCGGGTAAAGGCTTTAAAATACCAAACATGCTCCGTGTTTTGCTCGTCGCTGAAGATACCGGTCGCATCCCACAGGTACGTCCAGTAGCTGTCATGATGAAGGCCAGTCGAGGTAAAAGACGGAAAACGTTCAGGAGAACTCGAACTCACGATGCGGAATTACTGATACGCAGGGCCCGAGGTTTGTACGACATTCCACGGGAGATCCTCTTGATCGTAGCGAACGAATTGCCCACCAATTTCAGGACAGCACTTGCTCTGGCTTGCAAGGGATTCTTCAAATCTATCTGTCCCGATGGTCGTCTTCCTCGAATGGAAAGGGCAGAGGCGATAGAATTTGTTTTGCTCTTGGAAAGAGACGCTATAGCAAGAGGCGATACGAACCTGTTTCCTTGCTTTGGATGCGCAAGACTTCAGCCCTTCAGGCGTGATGACCATGGCAACTGGTCAACACAAGTCCACGCCGCTTGTGACTTCGTGGTGCGATTTATCAACTCATATGTGCACCGGCCTTTCAACTTACGCCCTGTCCATGGGTGCAACGGCGCTTCGAACGTCCATCAGTGGATTGAGCCAATAAGCACCGTCGTTTGGAAACCAGCCGTGAGGGGACTTGGGGGAAACGAGCCTGCAATCACATTTGCCGAGGCCCGCCTAGTCATGGATAACCATTTTTTGGGGGGCTCTCGTGGAATCTCGATCGAACGGCTCGAGAACAGCTTCCAATTCAATCGAGAGATCCCACCTGACGACGATGATCTCCCGACGGCACACTTTCCTTTAGAGCAACATGTTTCGAAAACGAGATACAATCTACGTCCTCGATTTGGGGCTCGTCGGGAGCGCCTGGGGCTCCTATCTGGTCAGAATGCGGCAGTTTGGTCTTTCACACACAAAACCTCTGCGAAAGTCATTGACGACGAACTTTTCATTCGCCGCCACCACGATATTTTTGGACCGCCATGTACTTTGGAATTCTTCGTCAAAATAATCGATAGCCTAGAACTTCCGGTCTGCCGACATATCCTCGGATGTTCCCACGCCCAGCTGCTGGGAACGCAGGCTTCAGCGTGTATTGCCGAATTACACAGCTTAAAAATTATCCAAACCGACTCTCAATGGGACATCCATCCTGATCAAGGGATTGCTTCGTGTTCAATCTGCTCCACGGATTATGAAATATCCATTGAGAGAGGGAGCAACCAGCGCAATTGGGGCCTCAAGCTCACCACGTATCATAAACTCGGGCAATGCCGCACACCGGATGACCCACTATGGAAGAATCTTGTAGGCTTCATGTCGGCCACTTACAGTCGCCATGTGATAGACGTTCCCGGAACAGTACGTCAAGCATGGCTCAAGCAACACGGACAGATAGATACAGCATCCGACAATTCATCGATTGAGTGGGTTCTGATCCAACAATACATGATCATCAAACGATTCTCATGCTTCTCGACCAGGAGATTCGATGGTCGCAAGGCTCTTTGGCGCATTATGCATGCTGCACATCCCGGACCCAGACTGATAAACAATCCTGGCATGGTTCTATACACTGGGCTAAAACGTGGAGGGGAGATATTGCATTGAGCATGAGCACATGGCGGGAAGGCGCTTACGTTGGTGGTTTGTTCTTATACACATATGGGTTACACATGATGTAAACCAGAATTCGTTCATCGGAGTTGGTTTATCACTCGTAAGTTGGTATTACCCCATAGTTATTTCGCTCTCAGTCCAAGTCACCATATGAACGAAGCACATCGCGAATAAAATATTATTTTCTTACTTGCCCTGTTCCTTAACGCCCATGGTAGACCACCGAGTAAATCGCGCGATATCCGTCACAACAGACAGAAAAGAAACCCCTCCCCAGATCAGACGTTCCTCACAGGATCCATGCATCTACCATTGAACATTAGCTGGGCCTTCCATCGCTTTGGCCCGTTCAAGTATTTCTTGGTATCTTGATGACTGTGCAAGATAGGAAGCACATTGGGCCCCCAAAATTCTGCGAGTGATGTCAGTAAAGTCATGATTTGGGAAGAATTTCTTGGACGTTTAGAAGTTTGGATGGACTTACCATGGCTGAGAAACCTCTGAATCCATCCCCGATTGACTTTGCGAGCTGCACGGCCCGAGGCCGAGGGTGCCTTCTAGACAAACCACGGCACACCGGCTGACATGTCTCTCGAGGCACCATTAAGGCGAAGTGCTGCGTCCGAGAAAAACATCAATCGGCCACCAAAAACCAGCCCTTCCCAGGCAAATCCGGCCTCTCCATACATTTTCGTCCGGAGGCCTTGGGGCATCTGAGCGATGACTCGGTTGGGATCGATCACCCAATTTTGCTCGGCCTGCGTTAAAACCGCTCCAGCATATTCGCTGATCTCATCAATGTCATTGTGCACGAGAATAGGCGTGTTTGGCCGTCCTGGGCCCCCTCCGATCATGCGGCCTGTCAAAACGTGTACGAATTCGTGCGCAATGGCGATTGAGAGCTCGAGAAGGGAATTCGCCCAACTATCAATTGCTCTCTCTCGGTCTGTGAAGGACGTGCTGGGATTCGTGGCAATCCTGCCTGCATTCCAGGCTGCTGTAACCACCTATTCACTCCAGTATCAGCAAAAATTCCCATGAACATAACTTGAGGGTAAGTACTACCTTTTTATTCACGGACATAGTACAAGACGCGTTCGCATCAAAGGGGGGCTGCCAGATGTGCCTGTCTGTTTGCGCGGCGCAACCTCCAAGGGCGCGGCTGTTCTCGATTCTGATCTCGGGAAATGTCCTGGCAAGATCCGACATAAATGCGGCTGCCTCGGCGAGGTATGACTGCATCAAATCCATGTTGGGTCTCGGAACGAAGTGGTGCTGATCTCCGGTGCGATTCCAGCCGTCAATGCATCCTTTCAAAACCGCGGCCAAGTTGCCACGACCTCGCGGGCTTGCGGCAAGGGAGAACGCGAGATCGGCCGCGGCTTGCACTATGGATTTGTAGGTCTTGTTGGGATCGATGGTGTTCGATATATCGGTCCATATTCTCGAATTATTCAAAGTCGCATGATTGCCGGCGGCGGTCGGGGAAGTCCAAGCCTGATTCGTTTCCAAGACTCGAACGGGCAGAGTTGGACATCGAAGATAGGATGGACCGGCGAGATTGAGCACTTCGGAAGGAATCCAAGGTGGAACTGTAGCGGTGAAGATGGCGTCCAACTGTGCCACTGCCGTTCCGAATCCGTTTGCGCCTCCCAGTGCATGCCAGGATTGCGGGAATACATGACCTGCATCGTCAGCGGCTCGTAGAAGAAATCTGGCTTTGAACAGCCTGTTGGTACCCAGAGCGTTCTTCGTGGCCTGAGGAACCGTTGCATCTAAGTAGAAACTGACGACTTGTCTGAGATGATTCTCTTCGGCTGGGGTGGGTGCGCGCAATACTGGCCGCGCATTGAAAGGAGGGAACTGTTGGGCCGCTGGAGCTGCCATACTGTTGATTTGATGTGGGCGAAGGTGGGTAAGGACGAAGAGCGAGGGCGAAGATGAACAATGCCGAAGGGCAAGGACGAAGAGCAAGGACGAAGATTGGAGTCCATACAATATGTAGTCTGTAATTTTCAGACACGGAATGCCCTGGCGAACGTTCTTGCCATCTTCAGATGCTTCGGAAAGGCTCCCCCGCCTTTGAGGCAAGTGCCCGAAATTTCTGTTGTTCTTTCCCTTTCAGAATCTGACACCTGTAGCGGGAGCACAAAGACCAATTCCAGTGTGGTTCGTCTTTCCTGCATGGACTCAACCTGCATGGAAGGCGGCGAAAAAAGCAGACACGTCTAGACGCTGGGCAATGTGTCCTGCTGCGAGAACATGGACTGGAAACAAAGACCCGCGCTTGGGACGGAAGACTCAAGAGCTCTCGTTGTGGTTCTGGCTGTCGAAGAAGCTGCTGGAACATCAATCCTTTGGGCATTTCTGGACATAGCAACAGTTGCTAGGCGCTCTGAGATCTATTCATTGTAGCACATCGAGGGCATCGGAATGAAGTCATTGATTCCTGTGCTGACGAAGTTCTCCTTTCCTCACTCAGACCATCTCGGAAAGACGTTCCCCATGCGGAAGTCAATCTTAAGGAGTTTTTTTAGTTGACCCATTCAATTGCCCATGATACTGCAAGGGAGGCAGAACCTCTTGTGTGGGAGCGCCGGGAGACACAGTGTGGGGCGTTCCAGCACCAAAAACATTGGATGTCAATACGCAGGAAGCTTCGTCCCGGCAGCTCATGCCGGTGCTGATGATGATAAGGTTTGAAAATTCTGAAGCACGGCTCGCCTAACGTTCGGACCAACAGGTTCCCAAGTAGCCAGGATTTATAACTGTAGCCCTCCCAGGCTTGAGTGAATGATAGAGGTAGCTTTCTTGTGCCATTCAAAGTCGCCTCAACCGAAAATGCGGCCACCCGACTCAAGAAAGGGAAGTTTCCGATATTATTTAGAAAGCCATGGACTTCTCAGCACCCCCCCCCCCCTGAAATAATTCTCATGATTGCCGAGGAACTACCCGCAGTCGCCAGGATCTCTCTGTCTTTAACTTGCAAAGGATTCCTCGCATTATGCCCGCAAGACAAGTTCCGTCAAATCGACGAGGAAGAAAGACTTGAATTCCTCTTGTTACTAGAAAGGGATGTTCCTGCCCGATTTCTATGCTTCGGGTGTAAACGACTCGCCTGGCTGGATCGACCGCAAGGAAAACAAACTTCCGATTCAGATGACCACTTCAACGGCCAGGTCTCACTTGCGAATCCAATCTCGTATCATGGCTGGCCGTCGACAGGATACGACTGTGTTGAAGTGGATTGGGATGAACTAGAGATCCTGGCGACCCACCCGATCCAAACCAGCCCGCTCCTTTGGGACCCTGGGGTTTGCTGGGGTCATTATTACGGCCCAACGATCACATTTTCAGAAGCTCAACTAGTCATGAATCGTCATTTTTACGGCGCTGCCTATGGGATATCTTCTAAAATTCTTGAGAGCTCTATCGAAATCTCAAGGAATGTCAAAGCAGATGGATCCTACGAGCCTATCGACCACTACGTACGACAAAGCCACACTACTCCAAATCTACAAAAGCGAGCATCCAGATCATTAACCAAATATATCTCGGCATCCTGGAGGTTCACGCACCGAACCTATGCCAAGGTGATCGGCAACAATCTTTTCATCTGCCGTGTTCACAATGTTGTCGGCCCGCTATGCCTAGCCAGTGCGTTCACGAGCGTCATAGATGGCGTCAATCTACCAGTCTGTAAGCATATACATGCTTTGTCGGGGATCAACACATGGTGGGGTTTTGGCAGTTCCGACAACTGCATACCGGCACTACACAGCGTAGGTATGGCCTCATATGATCAGCGATTTACCACATGCCACGACGACCAGATCGCTTCATGCCCTAAGTGCTTCACAGATTATGAAGTACACATCAAAAGAGGCAACGCAAACAAGGAATGGGATGTGAGCCTTCGCACATACCATAACCTAGGGAGCTGTCGTTCGCCAGCTGATGCAATATGGTCCGGATTGGTGTCATCTGCCTATTGGACATATACTCCGGATTCTTGCAGAAAGGGAAACCCAGGAGATGTCCGTCAAAGTTGGCTTCAACACTATGAATGCGAAGACCGGGAATCTAGTGGGCTCAAACCTGAGTGGGCTCTTTCTTTCCATCTGATGACCAAGTCGTGGTTCTCCACGTCGTCAAACTGGGATTGCAAGGCTCATTACGAGGTTTACTCAAAGTCGCATGGCCCTGGCGGACCTGCTCAACTTTCAGAACGACAAGTTCAAATGGAGAAAGAAGCCTCGGCGGCAATTGGGTCCCATTGCGAAAGTCAAGTCTGAATTTACCAGCAATCGATTCCACGGGTTGCAGCCAACAAATCATACCACATGTGGCTGAAAAGGAAAACCTGAGCGGGTACTGCTCTGCCACCAGCTACTTTAGTGGCGGCTAAGTGTAAACCCGAAACAAAAAGATGGCCTGGGCAAAGAGAGATTGTCATAATGCATGGACTAATTTGGGCCTTGAGGCGCGGGCATGTGCGGGCATGCGCTGGCCGGCGAAGAGGGGCCCCTTATGCGTGGCTGAGCTCTCGCATTGTTCTGCGACAGTGACATATCCGGAGGATGCGGTTGCCAAAGCAGCCCTAGGGCGCCGTGAGCGTAACCATAAGGCTCATTCACCGGGGAATACCTTGACTCGTTTGGTGACATCGGGAACTCGGATGAGAACTTGAGACGATCGGATCCACATTAGCCTTGGGATAATTTAGGCACCTCGCTTTCGTTGCCGCAATCACGAGTCACGCTTTTTGGCCTCCCACTTTCCTAGGAGAGTGGGAGGTGACAGGAGACAAAAGTTTGCTCACTGCTTGTTCTATCGATTGTCTTGCGTCGAGTTCTTTACTCACCTTCCCATCCTGAATTGATTTTGGTAGCCTTGAAGAGGTATGCTTCAAATTTCCAATCAGGCCTGGTAGATAGATTAGATCGCAACTTAATTCCACTCTAATGTGGACAGCAAACTTAATGCCACGACTTTGAAATGTATGTCACGCGAATCTGGGTTGCAGAGGGTTGCAGACCCGGGCAAGTGCAACCGCCCGGGCCGCAGCATACTGCCACGAATCGTGCGATGCTCATATTTAGCAACGGCACAGGCCAACGGTTTGGGTTTGTCGGAAGTCTATCTTATTACTTCCTTCTCGAATTGATCATCTGGTTGACCACGGCACCGACTATCCGGCATGGCTCGGCCGCAGCCGTGATGCTCGCATTCGGGCATTTGATATAAGAATCAAAAGCTGATCCGTCCTCGAGCAGCTAGGAACACCAACCCACACGGCTTTTCATTCTTTTCTTGTTGTTCATAACAACGTTCAGTCATTTATTCGTCCCACCACTCTCTTTAAAAAATATTACAATGTCTCGTCTCATTTCTGTCCTCCTCAACGGGCTCATGGCCTCCCCTATCTTGGCTAGCATCTCGTCTCCCAACTATCTCCCCTTCGCGCTCGAAAAGCGTGACTGCGGCTTCAGCTACTGCGACTGCCAACGCGTTCAGTGCTTTCTGGACTTCTGCTTCGACGACCATGTCGACCCCTGGGTCCTGGTTGATAGTGCCTGTACGTCATAACGCCTAACTTTTGTATACCATGCGGACTTTGACAAATATTCAAACAGTGAACCCCTACTATGGAGTTGATTGCGGTCAGTTCGACCACTGGCAACGGAACGAGCCCGCAGAGTACTGCAATAACGGCCTTCGCAAGGGCAACGGTCTCTTCTACATCAACCGCAAGTTCGGGTCTCTAGGCAAGAGCTTCACTGTCGACTACAAGAACGAAAACGCCAACGATCCCAGCCGTGGCTCCGTGGCAGCGCGTTGCTACCCTGTCCAGGACGTCCAGTGCAAGTGTCACTCACGATACAACGCGGAGAAGCACGACTGCTCGAACACCTGCGGCTAAGCCGGAAGAGACGTTTTGTTTCACGGAGACGGAGCGCGTGGCTCCTGCAAGACTTGACAATACCCATTGAAAAATTACTTTTCTTGAAATCACAGCTTTCGTGTTCGGGTCCGGCAGGTGGACGGGAATGTCGAAACAGCCGACCATATTCCTCAGAAATATTAGAGCATGTTACCCTCGTTTGCAATTCCAGCTAGTGGCGAGGTCGAAGACTAGAGAAAAACACACAGTTTTTTGACAAATGAATTTGAATGACGCACATAATCTATATTCATTTTCGGACTTTGTACCGAGCGGTTCCATGCAATCTCGGATGGTTTTGCAAACCAAGCACACAAGCCTCCAGCTATAATGACCCCAACATGCGAGGCATCATTCCGTCATCTCCCTGATTTTTGCTTCGATTGCCGACAACGCGTCCAAATCACTGTTCTCCAATTTCAATTTCATCGCAGCCTTCTTGTACTTGGTGTCCTCCAAGATGCATTCCACACCCCTCCTAACCTGTTCCGCTGTCGGTGTCTGTGTGCCCAGGCTGAGTCCAATACCTGCATACACAGCCCTCATAGTGACTTCAATCTTCTCCTCATTCTCTCCAGCAAGTAAAACTGGAACTCCGTTACTGACAGCATGAGTCAACGTTCCGTAACCAGCATTGGAAATGAAGACATCCGTGTACTCTAACATCGCATCGTAGGGAACGTAGTCAATGACACGAGCGTTGGCTGGTATCTTGACTTCCGCCGGAAGCTGGGCGCCAACAGCTCCCAAGGTGGCTACAACCAAGACTTCGGGGCGGTCGGCAAAGGCATTGATGGCAGGGATAATGAGCTCCGACCAGAGTGGGTTAAGAGTTCCTTGAGATACAAAGATGACGTAGCGGTAGTTCTTCTCCTGTCTCTTCTCAACTTCAGACCACCATGAGGGAAATTGGAAGCCCAGCTTCAGCGGCTTGCGAGGCAGAACACCAACGAATTGAAGGCATGGTGGTAAATCGGAAACAGGATACTCGAGGCTCGGCGAGCAGAGCTGAAGGACAGAGTCGTGAGCGGTGTAGAATGACCTCCATATCTTGCCATCGGGGATGTTTTTGCAGCCGCATTGCTTCAGAGTCTCGTGCCAAGCATCGTACAAGAGCTTCATGGGGCCTCTTTCCACGAGCTCGTACAGTGCCTTGTTCCTTTGGCGTCCCGACTCTGTAGAGTCGGGCCAGAGCCCTAGCGACAACGGTCCGGTGTCTTGACTTTCGGCCAAGATTGGCGAGACGCCAAATCCAATCGACTTGGGCAGTCTCTTGACTCCGCCTGGAAGAGGCCGGCCATACTTGAAAGCCGTGAACCCCGAGTTGAAAACATCTTCGAGAACGATGATTTGTCGGTGGGGGTCTCGGGCCTGCAGCACTACCAGAGCTTCTTCAATGGACTTGGCTCTCGTTGGTTGCATATCCATGAAAATGGCTTTGTATTGCGCCGCAAGTCTTCCAGGGCCCGGAGGGAACTGCGAAGCGTCGCGAAAGTTGAGGAAGACTGATTCGGTAATTGGGTTTTCGGCGAGGATATACTCGGCACCAGTTTCTTCGATCTTGGACTGGTACGCCGATGGAGAGGAGAATGCCACCTCGTACCCGACTTTAACCAAGTGAGATGCAATGGTGAATAGAGGGTTGATGTGACCATCGATGGGAAACGCAGCCATCAAAAGCAAAGGCTTCCTCGAGCCCTTGACGTCGTCGCATGTCTCAGTCACAGTCATTGCGTCAGATTGAATGAGTTGGATGAGCCTGGCGAGGATACGACTGCACCTTGTCGTGAAATACTCGGGAGATGAGGCTCCGATGTCTCAGTATATAACATCTTCTGGGACCGGGCATCCCCCTCCCCGATGGTAAGCACTAACGGAGATGTTGCATTCATCTGGCGCAAGTCCAAGGATAAGATGCAGCCTGATGGGTATTGGTAGGTGGATTATTGCGGGTCACTGCATGATGGTTGCCGTCGATGGCAAAACCACCGGCCGACCGGCTCAGGGTTCGGCATGACCCCTCCGCCATCACAATCTTGCCTGAAAGTGTTCCTCGTGGCACCATACCCCTCAATTTCAAAAACCCGTGACTTGGACGTTACACTAATTCGATGATGACCATGGGCAAGCACTGAGTTGTGGAGAATTGCAAATTAATTCCTTTGGAAAAATTTACGTCTCACGGCTAGAATGTTACTGAGGATCGAACATCAAATTACAGAACTAGTGGAAAACGATCACAGATGATACGTACATGGAATACCACTAGAATACAATGGGCATGTACTACGGTTATTTCAAGTAGCTTCCAGGGTTAAAGCTTTCACCAGCGTCAACTTTTGCCCCTTAAGAGGCTCTCAAGTCGGCCGCAGCTATGGTTTTACATAGGCTTATTTGCAATATTTGGACACGTATTTCAAACCTATATTATTCCATATCAAACTCAACTTTCGTAATACTGAAACAGCATCGCGTTAACCCATGGAAACTTGTGTTTGTCTCATGATGGGCACAGACGACGATGACGGCGAGGACGACGATGATGATCACAATGATGATGACATTAAAGACAAGAACAATATCAATAGTATCAGTGTCACTGAATAAGAAGAAAACGAAGAAGATAAGTATGACAGCATACTAGGGAAAATCAAACGCGTAGCCCTCCGGACACTTAGCCAGAGGGGACGGGGTCAAGAATCTGAGCAATCATCAGACAATCATTCACAGCTCTGCAGAGGCAAGCCGATCAAAAGTCTTCATGGTGAACAAACCTGCTTAAGAGGTTAACGGAGGGAAGATATGGGTGCGGGCCCGTGTTCGTTGGTGGCAATGGTTTCTGTTGCCATCAGTCCAAAGCGACGACAATGTCCGCTGAGTAACAAGACATTGCTCAGTATCAAGGTGAGGCCAGCCCTCTCTCGTCTGCTCCTGAAATTATCCTCATAGGTCCGCTCGACTTTTGGCACTTTTTCCAAAGGCAAGGACAAGCAAGGCTAATTTGTGAAAAAGTGACCGACACAAGAGGTTGCTTTCTCCACATTCATTGGCATGAGAGAGACTCAGCTTGATTCAAGTGTTATGTTCCGGGGTCAAGTTGCGCGTGTCAATCAATGGGTCTTGAGAAGGGATAATACTTCACGCCTCCTGCTTTCTCATAACACGGCACAAAATTCAATTCTAAAGCTCAGCTGAGTTCGACCTTTGTGCGTCATCGCTTTCGACTACCCCTTGAAAACGAACGACAGTTACGAGACAAAGAGCCCGAGGCAGGTTTTGCATTTGTCACGCCGACGGCTGTCACCCGAGCATGTTCATCTCACCGTCATCAGCTGTCAATCACCATCGTTTCGTGTCTGAAACCTCATTCTCTTGCACCGGTCCTTCAACCCTAATTTACGTGCAGAGTTTGCCATCTTTCCCGATGACATTGACAAAGGCACTGTGTCTGTGTCGTCTTGGCGTCAAGCTCCGGCATTTTGCTGATGACCGCAAGTTTCGATATAAGTTGTCCTCTTCCTCCCTCACTTGAAAATGTGAAGAGAGGGCTGTGTAAAAGATCACAGCTGCTGTCAGATCCAGGCTTAATTCAAAGCCGGCAAGGACCGCAGCTTGTGGATCTTGGGTCTTGGGTGGCTCATCAGTTGCGACGATGTCACTAATGCAGGACATGTGGTGCATAACTGAAGTCGCTGTGTTCAGGGAGCTATCGAGATCAACTGCTATATCGGCTACAAGGCCTCGGTCAGCACCACCAACGGACCTACATATGTTCAAGTTTGGGGTGGCGCGTATTGTTACCGTCGCCAAGTAGATCGAGAAGCTTGTCAGCGTCAACCAGGACGTTGCCTTCATCAAGATCAATAGCCCCTTTGCGGGAAACCTCACGAACATCTCATACCGATATAAGCCTTTCACTGCCAATGGGCTTAACATCGGGGTGGTCGCTACCCTGGCGACAAGTATCTCCATCACCCGAACGGTGATGATGGCGAGAAAGGTATTCAAATGGATGAGTAATGCATCGAGAACACCGAATGGCACATTTTCGAGCAATATATCCTTACCTTCGCCAGCATTTGAACCATCACAGGCCTTACAAACGAAGACCTTTGCTGACGACGAACGCATAGGTCAATTTCGACCCGTTATTCTCCAAGCCGCCGACACTGGATTTGAATCCGTTGGCATGTACTAACTCCTACGGGCAGCAGTGTCAATTGGACCGTCTTCCACAGTGATAAAGCCTGAAGCAACGATAATGATTTCAATGGCAACAGCTCCGATAGCCATGAGACTGGCTACAAAGGCGACAATGCACACAATGGCTTTCGCCTGGAGAGCTTTTCGCCGGACGACGCGCCGATCAGGGACTATAGCAAGGGTTTTCAAAAGAGTCGCAACGAGGAGAGATTCCTTGGTGTTTTAGGGTTCTTAAGTTCGTTGCAGTGAGACTTGAATTGGTCAACTCAACAGTCTCGCCTTTGTCTTGGCGGTATTGAGGGAGCTGTCGGCTCTGTCGCCGGAGAAGCCCTCTCCACAGTGGCCGGCGCCCAGAGTGCTATGGCGAATGGCAACACCTCCAACGCCGTCAAAAGTGCCACCAGCTCTGGAGCTATCGAGTGTGCTGTCCAGACTGAAGCATCCCTCCAAGCCATGGCAAAGACAGTCCGCCCGAGTTCTGAGGACCATCAAGTCCCAGTGCCGCTCGCTCAGGCCCAGACTTGACACCACTGTACCCCTTGCTGGTCCTCGTCTGACCGAGTAAGGACTTGACTTGGCTCACCAATACGTGGTTCGCATGAATCAGGAGGGCGGTGGTCTTCAAAGGGTGGTGGTCTTCAGAGGGTGGTGGTCTTCACAGGGTGGTATCGAAACACTGGCGGCGATACCGAGTACACTCTCAATTCCCCCGTCCCCGGTAGCCAAGAGCACGCCACTCGAGTTGTCATCAGGCGTGTTGCTATTGCTGAGGCCGCTCTTGAGACTCTAATGACGCTCCCCAGGGAGATGCTGAACCGACTCCGCATTAAAGCCTCCTCTCACGGCGGTGGCGAAGAAGGCTTCTTCGACGTGATCAAGTGCGGCATTCAGAAGACTGGACCTGCTGTTCTGTACATTGCAAAGAAGGTGGTGCACACCGTCATTCTTGTCATTGTCGTTGAGCTCTCCGAGAGATTCAAGGGTGCAGTCGGCGCGGAGAGCAGCACAACTCCCTACAATTAAGGCGATAACCACAACAAGATGGGCCGTTTAAGCAAGCTATCGACAAAACATCTGATCACGGCTATGAGGCAGTGGAGGTGAGCGAAAATTCTCCTCTTGACTTACAATGATGGAAGACCACATTACTACCACCTTCCAAATTGGGACGGGCTGGTGTTCATCAACGAAAATTGGCTTGTGAACAACTGAGTCCATGTGCTTTAGATAGTTGGCAGTCATTGCCACGCACTGATGAGACAAGGACGTCTCTCCCATCTTGCCTCAACATAGACTTTCCAGACAATGATCCCATCGATGCCCATGGGGACTCTTGTCATCGTTGGCTTTGCGATTCGACTTTGCGGTTTGGGAATGTCTACAGCCATGCAAGGTTAGGACTTTTGCCCACTTCGATTGCCTTTTGATGTTTTAGGTGCTTGACGTTGGATATTCGTCGTTGGGGTCTGTCGTTCGTTTTTGGATGCTGGGCTAAGAAGTCGGCTCGGCTGGTCGGCGGTTCCGACTTATGGTGCCAACAGCAGGCTACTCAATATATCTTATCCTTTAATACATCTATTCGACCCCTTAAATCAATGGCCAGGATCTTGTGACGCTGCACTTTGCGGCAGCGTGACTCGTTGACAGTCCAGGGCGGGGAAGATAAGCGATAGTGCGCTCTATCATTCGCACTTTAGATTTTCCGTCACTGTGGCCGGTGATTACGATGTTTATGCCGCCTTAACAAACAAGGAAGGCACAGTGCCGATTTGTGGGGTTGATTGAAGATGGAATAAGGTTTGACAAGGTTCATCGACATCTCGTCGGCGATGCCCGCACACCAGCTGGTGCCCGCACTCTTGCTCATCCCCAGAACAGAACAATAGACAGAACAAGGGGACACCACGAATACTTGGATCTCTCGAATGAGACCCAATGACGATTTCATCATTATGGTGTTGGCTGCCCGCGGGAAACACCCGTGCAGCGAACAGATTGCACTGGCCAAGCAACATCATCAGGAGCGACGGTTGTCTTGGCTCTCGAGTCAAACATGCACATCTTAAGACGAACCGATAGAGTGGAACTGCCCCAGGATATAGAGTACCTAGGCGCCGACTCCGACGGTTCCGGACACGAGTGCGCCCTACGCAAATGCAACGCTGTGAATGGGGGAAAGGCAGCCTCAGTCAACGGACCAAGCAGCCTTAATTCAGTTTTAAGATCACTACATGGATCGTCAAAAGCCTATTGCCGGCAACTGAATCACTGCACCCCACTTCAAGCGGGCGACCGACTCATCTGCGATTCCGATTGGGGTGTTTAGACTTTATGTTTGCAGAGCTAAAAACGTTCCGCCCGCTGACAACGTGAAGGGCCCCCCGAGCTGGTAGGCTTTCTGCAGGTGAGTGCAACGGTAACTGTGTTAGTCGGTATGAAGGGAGGGGCGGAAGGTACTCGGGTTCGTTACCACGCCGGGGCGGGAAGAATGCCTGATGGCTCGTGTAAGACAGACTAGCTCTAGTACGGACATCGGACGGCCTGTTGCTGTGAGACTTGAGACAAAGGTTGTCCGACCTGAAATGAGGGGTTCGCGGACGTTGACGACGACAACAACTGCATTCCTGCCTTGATTCTCTCAGGATGGCGAAGAAACATCAAACATCGGCTGGGAAAGCAAGGTGGAAGATCTTGTGCCCTTTTGACCGTTCTTTCACTCTCATGACCACTCCCAAGCCTGACTGTAGATTGGGACACACGCAGTAGCTTCGGTCATCCCGTGCATCCCCATATCGTTCCTTTCCCATCTCATCTCCTTTGTACCTGCGTCTCGTTCCACTGCATCCACCAGCGAATCTTGCGGCTGCTTCTCGTCTGCGAACTGCACCCCGGAGGTGTAAGGCGGTCGTCCACACCCCCATTTCGTTTGACTACAAAACATATCTTATCCCAAGCTCTTCCTCCCACCTGTTCGTCTTCTGCCCGTCCGTCTTCTGCCCGTCATCCACAATGCGTCCGTTCGTTTCGCTCGTTTCTTTCCTTTCTTGCCTGACCCAAGTTTCTGCTTGGGCCCCGCGCGCCAGCGGACATGGTGCTCCAGGGCACTATGGAGGTATGCAAACGCATGACGCCAGCTTCACACCCGACCATATCTTAAGGGTTACTCAACAGAACGTCTCAATTGGCTGCCAAACACGGGAGTCGGTTGTCGTTAATGGCACTCTCTACGGCCCAACACTTAGGCTCCCGCCCGGACAGAGGAGTTGGATTAGAGTATATAACGACATGGAACACCACAACACTACCATGCATTGGCACGGACTCAGCATGCGCATGGCGCCCTTTTCAGATGGCACTCCGTCTGCGAGTCAATGGCCCATCCCACCGGGTCGCTTCTTCGACTACGAGGTTTACCCTCTGAAGTCAGAGTCCGGTACCTACTTCTATCACTCGCATGTGGGCTTCCAGGCTATGACCGCCGCTGGGCCTTTGATCATTGAGGACAGTGCGGAACCTCCTTACGCATATGATGATGAGCGAATCATCATGCTTTCCGACTATTACAACAAAACCGATACTCAGATCGAAAAGGGATTGACTGCGTCGCCTTTCGTATGGTCCGGTGAGACCAACGCGGTCCTCATCAATGGCGTTGGAGTTTCAGTTGACGAAACAGCTGGCCAGAACGGCTGCAAGCTGCCTATTATCAACGTTGAGCCTGGAAAGACTTACCGTCTGCGGTTCATCGGTGCCACGGCCATTTCCATGGTGCAACTGGGCATTGTGGGCCACGATAACTTCACCATCATTTCTGCTGATGGCGCGTACACCAAGCCACACTCCGAGAACATCATGCAACTGTCTTCAGGTCAGCGCTTTGATGTCATTTTCAAGGCGAAGACTGAGGAGGAGCTCAACGGAACTGGCGACTTCCTCATCCAGATGGAGACAAAGGACAGACCTAAAGTTTACCAAGGCTACGGTGTCCTGCGATACTACAAGGCTACGACTCAGATTAATAAGGCGCCCGCGACTCCCCCTTTGACGTTCTCCACGAAGCCCTACGAATGGGCTGAGTACGCATTGGAGCCTCTGGTGCCCAACAACTTTCCAAAGGCAAGTGAGGTGACACGCACCATCAACATCGACAGTCGACAGTTGTCTACGCAATCAATCATCTGGCAGATCAACGGACTGGAGTGGAATGAAACCTCGTCACCGTTCCCTGGTGACAAGCCGTATCTGGTCAACATTTATGAGCAAGGGGAAGCCGCGATGCCAAACTACACAGCTGCGATGAACAACAACGGTTGGGACCCAACAACATTGACTTGGCCTGCGAAGCTTGGCGAGGTAAGCAATCCTTACTGGTTGGCGTCTGTGACATACGCTTACCAATTTGCAGGTTCTTGAGATTGTCTGGCACAACACTGGTTCCCTCGTCAACAATGGTGGTGGCGTGGACTTCCACCCATTCCATGCTCATGGTGGACATTTCTGGGACATTGGAAGTGGCAACGGAACATACAACCAAACAGAAAATGAGGAGAAGCTGAAAAACTACAACCCGGTCAAGCGAGACACAACGAACCTTTACCGATACGGCGAAAAGACGACATCTGGCGCTAACGCTGGCTGGAGAGCGTGGCGTCTGCGCGTAGAAGATGCCGGTGTCTGGATGGTATGTTTCATTCTGCTCGGCTCATCGTGAGACATGGAATTAACGAACATTCTAGATCCACTGCCACATCCTGCAACACATGGTGATGGGCATGCAAACTGTCTGGGTCATGGGAGATTACAAAGACATTGCCGTCTTGCCCCTCTTGGATACGGCTGGGTATCTGCAGTTTGGCGGCAACTCGACGGGCAACTCAACAGACGCGCCGACAGTAATGCATTTCTTTGAGGCGGATGACTAAGCGTAATCATGAATTCATAGACATATTTTGATATCCATAGAGCTCTCTACCATCATGGGGTTTGGGAGAGCACACAGAGTACGACATCACAATCAATCGTGGACCCGCTACAGGGATCCAATTTCTTCAATTGTTGAATCATGTCCAAGCCGTTGTGCACGTTTCCTGGGGTGGAACTGTCACTGGTGTCCTTAACCCAAAAGACTGACTCGCGAGCGCAAACCACGAAAATCTCAATGTTGAACATAAAACGGTGTGAGCCGTGATGCTTGGCATTGGCCAAGCGACGGGAACTTTGTTTTATTTGTTTCCCTTTACTTCTGGTCGACATCTGTCCGTGATGGGAATGTCTCATTTGGTGGTGCACTGTGCCTCTAGCGCGGCAGGCATCTTGCTGTTCTTCGCTGTCTCCGTGAGTAGGCAACTTCCCTGATAAGGGCACTAACTGAATATGTGTAGGCGATCCTTTATGGTGTCGGTCGCGCCGCTTACAACATCTACTTCCATCCGCTTCGGCATTATCCCGGTCCCCGACTGTGGGCAATAAGCCGCCTTCCCTGGAACCTCGTCAATCTCAAAGGAAGCTTGGCCTTCAGAATTCGAGAACTGCACGAGCAGTATGGCCCAGTGGTCAGAATTGCGCCAGATGAGCTTTCATACACCAGCTCCACCGCCTGGAAGAAGATCTACGGTCAACGAACCCCTGAGTTCCCAAAGTGCTTTGACGGCCGTGGAATCGCTGGTCCGAGTGTGACCAACCCAGCTGTTCGCAATGGCGGCATTGTCACCGCTGATCAAGAGCCACATGCCAGACTCCGGAAAGCTGTCTTACCAGCGTTTAGCGAGCGTGCATTGAGAGAACAAGAGGAAATTCTGCAACTCTACGCCAACAAACTTGTAGATCGGCTACGATCCTCCAGCAAGAGCGGCGCCCCACAGGATTTGGTCAAGTGGTTCAGTCTGGCTGCCTTTGATATTATCAGCGATTTGGCCTTCGGCCAGGCCGCTGGCTGTCTAGACGATGCATCCCAGCCATGGCTCCAGGTTATCGGGACCAGAGCTCAGGGCATTGTCCGGTATCAATTTGCGATTCATTACGGC